CGGAATAAATTTGTTAAGGCTGGTTTTATTATAGTTTATTTTAAACTGGCTACTATAATAGTTAAAGCAAAACACTCATAGGAACTGATCAAGATGGAAGTCAAAATTAATACTTCCAATTGTTCCGTTTAATGGACATTATATTTTTATACAAAATAAAAATAACTAAGGTAAATCGAAAATATTTTATCATAAATATTCATAAACAAGTCCCGGCCGGAGCTCGCAAAAATTAGAAAATAGTGACGAGTTCATAAAAATTTTGATTTAATATCTAAAAAACGAGAAATAATTTTACCATAATTTTTAGATCTTATCATTTCTGGTGCACGATATAGGGGAGTTCCACATATTGATTTTGTTCTTTTACCTTTCCCTAGTTTCTAATTTGTAATTAAAATAATGGCTTGTTTAATATAATATATTTTTAAGTTTTTTTTAAAACATTATTTTATTTTTTACTATTGTATTAGTAATATTTACTTAAATAAAGAAACAATTTAGCGAGAAATTTATTTTTAAACTAAATTATATTTTTGCTTTATTGGGGAAATTACCTTGCATGTTGCAAAATTAGATAATTTAATGTGACCGTTATCTAGTAAGATATTCTTAGGGCATATGCCCCTGTGTACAATATCTATAAATTAAAAATAAATATAAAATTATTTGTTTGACAAAAATGGGAAAATTGCTTAATTAACACAAATAATTGAAATAACCGTTTCTATGTAAAAAGTTTATTGCTAGAATAATCTCGGCCGCATAAAAAGCTATACGACCATTTAAGATAGACTTTCCTTCAATATAATCAGATAAATTCCTTCGACCAATGTCCTTTGTTACTAATATGTATCTGTGAAATATAAGTAATTATTTTTAATTAATTCCATATATAAAAAAATTTAAATTCTGTATCTTATTAACAAAGCATATGTAATGACATTGACTACAGCTGACTTAATTATAATTATGTTCACAAACAACTGATCGAAGTTTTTTGTAGGACATCTATATTTTAATACTTTATTACTCACAAAAAGTAAATAGGGTTTTAGCCTCGATTTTTAAAGCTAAATAATCTTCTAAAAGTAATATAATTATCTTTAAAATCTAAAATAGGTTAAAATATTACTCTTAGCATGATATAGTATATTATAAAAAAGTATTGCAATATTGCTTCTGAACTTATTTTTTAAATAATCGCGATGCGATTTATTTATATTACCGATAGTAATTTAGTCGATGAAGCGATTAAGTTGACTTTCTAAATGCAAAAAGAGTCTAATTTTAAATATTTAAGTTAATATAGTTTTTAAGAAATTTTATATGAATGATGGTAATAGATTATCAACTGTACTATAATTATTTTGGAAATAAGAAATCCCAAAAAAATATTTCGAATCGATTAACAAGCCTGTAAGCGAGGTTGGCATTTATAACATTGGTAGCCCCAAAATTGTTATTTAGTATCGCAGCAAGTATCAGATATTTTTTAAAACCAAATAGGCAGTTCGTTCTGTAAGGTGTATGATATATAGAATATCAAAGCGACCGTTCTATTCCTCTTTAATTTTTTAAAAATAGTTCTTATTACATTTTAATATGATATCTCGTAGCACATTAGATATGAGAAGTGTTACTTGCACTCACCGACTGGGCCCCATATGCTACACGAAAATAAAGGATAAAATACGACGAAATCTAATATTTCTATAAAAACTAAAAGTATATAACATTCTGTACTATTTATTTCAAATTTCAAAAAATATTTAACAAAGCTTTCCTTATCCAATGTTCTTTAACACTGGGGAGAGTGTGGACTGCGTGGTATTAATATGATGCAATTGCACTTTATAAATTTTGAATTCATGATCTTAATTTATATATAGTCACAGTCATTATTTATTTTATAATTGAATAATTTTTAGATTGCTTATTATTAATAAAGATATACTTAAAATATGCTAAAAATTAATAAAAATTTAATAAACATATACTAATTTATTTCCATATTTAAAAATGATAAAAATCATTTTGATAAAGATGGCATTCTGTTATGCATATCATTAATTTTTATATGATTATATTGATATATATTGTATTCCATATTAAATCAACGAAAAAACTCAATTTTCAACCAAACAACCTTTGATTTTTTTTACATTAACTAATAAAAATTTATAATATAACTTTTGAAATCGACTATTTAATCTATTCTTATTTTTACAAACGATAAAATTTGAAAATATAATTTAAAATAAATAAATAAATAAATTCCTTAAATGTTGACTTCACTAAAAAGATAGTTTATTTTATTTTATTTTAAAAAAAAAATTCATATTTTTACATTTATATTTTAATTTATTTTTTATTTAGGTTATGTATTTTTTAATATTTTTGTATTATATTCAAATATGTAACTTTACTTGGTTATATAAGGAGATGAAATTATTATGTTTAGGATCATTATTATTTAGAAGAATGACTTGTTTTCATCTCCGGCATATTTAAAATCTACATGGTGTCAGTGTTATACCGTACAAATACTTAATTATAATTAAATATCCTACGATATATGGTTATGAAGAATATATAGTTGTCATAGTACAAAATATCCACAAAAGAAAATTTAAAGTCCATTTTTACGACGATTTAGATGACATGTTAATGGCGTATTGATTTGTTCAAAGAATGGAAAGCAGGGATGCATATGGCAAAGTGTTCACCATCAACGCTCAACAATATGTATAGAAAACATCGTATTAATATTTTTTTATATAACATATTGTAGTATTGATAAACAATTAAATTAAATAAATTAATGAAAATAAAAATGAAACAATTTTTTAATAATAATAATGGTATATATTTGATGCTCCTGTTTTGTAGCGGATGAAATTGAACCCTAATTGTCGAAATCTGAGCATAAAAAACATAATTATTTTAAGATGCTTATTAATATTTTTGTCAACTTTCTTGATTTATCGTATTAATTTAGATTGCCTTTAATTGTATTTTTTTTATCTGGCATAATTATTTTATAAAAATAAAGAGAGGAATGAGTAAAAGCAATTTTGTCTATCTAATATTTAGAATACAATATTAAGTCAAAATAATCTGGAAGATCTTGTAGCAATATAAACCTAAATTAATGAAGGAAGAATTGAAAATGTAACCCTTCTTGCTTATTCCATAAATTAATGCCAAAAACAATAGTAATTAACTTAAAAACATAAATAAACTGCAATTTAAATAAAAATATACCTCAATAATTCTTTGGTATAATTTTAAACCCTTACCAATAAATCGTGATGTGAAATGTTGAAAAAAAGTTACGTACGTGATACGTGATAAAGCGTATTCGCACTCTCAACGTTGTAGATACAACAGAGTTAGCTAGGCATTTCTCATTTCCATATTGGATTTATATAAAAATTTAGGGGAAAAAGATGAGAAGCTTGTTGTATCTGTTGATATATACTTGACATTTATAGACGTTCTTCAATGAATTTTGAATAAGAGAGATATAATAATAATTTTCCTTTATTCTTTATTTATATTTGTGAAGTAAAATTTTTGTTGTAAATTTTAATTATTCCGTTTGTTTGGAAAATAAAGAAATACAATTTTTAATTAAAGATTATGGTGTAATGTTTAAATATACTTTTATCATAAATTCTTTACACGTTTATACGCACAATAGTCCGAGGACTACTGTGGGTTGATTCAGAAGGGAAGGACCAAAATAATCAGCCCATACCTTCAGTTCTATTGTATTTAAAAAGTAAAAGTGATAGGGGAAGGCTTTTTAGAAGTTAAAGTGAGTTGAAAAAAATATGATAATTAAATAAGAAATAAACTTGTATTCTTGTTGAAGGTTTTTGAGTAGTTGAAGAGGGGAGGGAGTAGAGTGGCGAAAGGAGGGATATAATTTAGATAACTAAACTTAACCTTAAGGAGCTTTTTTATATTTATTTAATTTGGTGAATTGTTTCCAATTTAAGTTCAGGTCTGCCACATCTTTTAGTACTCAGTGGAACCAGAGGGTCTTATATCTAGTGTACCACTTTCCCTTGCAGGTGAAGAGCCATGTTAGCCCATCGTGAACTAAGTTGGAGTTGGGATGACTCAGTATGTGAGCAAATAATTAGATACATTTTTTCTTTAATAGGATGTGAAGTGTTTGAATTTTTCCATAATTTATCGTTTGATATTAATCTAGGGTAGAACCCACCATTTATTATCCTTAAGCACTAAACGTCTGACATTTTTGATGATTTCCCATGATAAGAAATGCAACATAACCATAAAGGTGTTCCATATTTCTACGGTCCAAATGCATTAGATTACCGATGGTGTTATTTTTCAGATACTAGATGCAGAGAAATATATTATTACCTTTATTTTTTTTATATAAGATCCCCGCGCAATAATGCTTTTACATTTTGCCCATTGTATAAATTGATTTCTTATAATTGATAGTACAATTTGAAAATAAAAACTATGAATGGATAAAACTAAAAAACTTAGAAGATTAAGGTGCCTATTTACAGAAAGGGGCCAAGACAATTGTGCATATCATTTTCACATACATAGCCATTTTGTTTCCCAATCGCGATGGATTTAATCAATAAATTTAATTAGTAATTAGGCCATCAAATGTATTCTCGAGGCTCAAAAGGCATTAAGCTACAAATTATTTTTGAAGGATCAGCAATCTAAATTTTTATAAGGGAATCTATAGAATCCAATCAGTGTATATAGATACCTTGTGTACGAGTCAGCTGATACCTTAGTGTTTTATTTTTTTCATCTGAAAAACAATATTTTATTATGTGAACGCTAAAACTTGGAATTTTATAGATATAATAATTCAAAAATGTTAATTATGATACCCTTCTTTTTCCTTTCTTATTTCCACAATGGTACATAAAGCTGAATTTTTAAATAGATGAAAAATTAAATTTTCTTTACATTCACTCATTATATTTCATTTACAAATTTAGATTTCCAGAACTTTTGCATATATCTCTTTTTAAATATTAACCATAATTAACTTTATTTATACTGTACATAATGAAAATCGATAGAAATAAATTAAAAGCACCAGTCACACTCCTGGTAATTAATTATAATTATGATCAAGTATTTAAACCTATTTTAGAAGCCAGAATTCAATAAATTAATAGAAAATTTAAAAAGCGCTAACGATTTTGAATTAATTCAGGGTCTTAAAACTCCAAATTTTTGGAATTATGATAAAGTTATTAATTTATTACTCGATAAATGTATTAATTAAAATTTAGATTGAGTTATACTACTGGGTTGATGTATTAGATAAATTTGATTATATATTAGAAAAAGCTAGTAGTAAACCTAAAGAATCTACGTGGCTTATACATTGCGATCTACCTGAAAATGAATTAGTAATAAATATATTGGCAAACATTTTATCATTCCTAAAAATTTAGGAAAAAGAATTAGTCATAATTATCCTAAACTTTACAACCAAATTAATTGAACATACAGTATCCAAAAATATTTATAATTCAATAGATGTAATTAATTATATATTCACTTCTTGAGATATATTTTATTCATAGAATTTGATTTCTTTGTTGAATTCAAGTGATATATCCATCATTATAGCTGTTTTGGATTTACTCTATGCTTTCAGGTAAATTTAAATATTATAAAAACTAATATATCATTTATAAAAGTATACTAAAATTTAACATTTTTTAGATATCCCATTATTGTGATTCTATTAGTGAATTTTAAAATGATTATTATTCTTATAAGTTTTTAAAAATAATTGGCCTATAAATGAGCTATGAGTGAGTTGATAAAAAAATGTGATCTACATATTCCTAAACTGTTAAGTTTTTATTGCTTTAAATTTATTATACTTTAAGAAACATGCAAGAAAATAAACTACAAATTTTATTTTTATTATTATAAAGACATTTCTATGGTTATGTGGAAAACAGTTGGGAAAAAATCATTTAATATTTTATTTAAAAATTATATTTTCTAGATATTGTAAAATCATGAGCTTCTAAATAGATTTAGATGAATAAGACTGGACCAGACCATTTTTTAAAATTAGTCTAGTCTAGCCTTTAAAAATTTCAAATGCTGAATATTTTATAAAATTTAATTTATGAGATTTTTAATATTTTTATCTAATAAAATTGCCTGGGTTTTTTATTTTTAAAAATAAATTTAATATGATATTTATTTAACAACTAGAAGATAGCCCGTCATAAATGACGGGGAATGAGAATTTTCTTCTTACTTTTATGATAGTAGTTATTTTGAAAATAATATCCAATTATTCTTTTAATCCCTCCTCCCCCCCCCCTTCATGCCAGGTTTAATCCAATAAAACTAAGTGTAAATACTATGGTTTGGTAAAATTAAATTTAAAGCTTTTACTTGATAATACCAATATTATTTGATAAATATTACTGATCATTTATACCTAATATTTAAATTAAAAAAATTCCCAGGCAAAGTACAAAGCCATAATAATTTTGAAAAATTCTTCCAAGCCCAGTGAATATAATAATTTTGGTAGTTGAGAACTGAAATAAAATATTTAAATAATCATAATGTTAAAAATACAATCAAAATCAGATTTTCATGGGACTAGGTTTTTTTTATCAGGCCGAGCCCAGGCCTGCATAAAATTTTTGTTAATAATAAAAAAATTCTCAAGCATTCTAGCTCATAATTTTTTTGAAAAATTTTCCCCAATCCCAGCCTAATATAATTTATAAAAATATTTTTCACGTATACTACAATCAATGACTGACTTACAGATGACCTTTTTGCACGTTTTTTATAAATGAATCTAAGTTAATTTAATGCCATTTGAATTGGGGCAACTCCGTTATTTTATTACAACATAAATTATTTATTTATTTTACACAATAAATATAATATTTTAATTACATGTACTAAATAATAAGCAAAAGATCAAGCTACTTAAACAAATTACCTGTTGCCCAAAAAACAGCATTATTTCAGCCGTTATTACATTTAGCACAGGTTAATTATAATTTTAGCCTCTTATAATTTATTAATTTAGACCTGGGGTGGGAAAGCAAATGGCCTCTCATTAGCTCAATGTTCCCGCGATCTTTCAATGAATGTAAGGATAAAACCAACCATCTGTTATCATTATTTTTAACCTTTAGGGCTGTGTTGATTCAAAAATTTTCACCTATCCCACCCAAAATTTTTCTATATTCATTGCTTTTTCTGGCCATTAAATCAATATTTTCTTTGCAAATAAATAACTATAAACTATGGGTAAAACATAAACATTTTGAAATTTTCCGTTTTTCATGACCAAATAATATTTGGTCCATTAACATGAGTGATTGATATATTTTTAATTTTTCAAAATTTAATCATCTCATTTAAAGTGTGGCCAATATTTAAAGTAAAAATAATATCACATTTTAAACTATTTTTTCTTTTAAAAATAATCCAATTTTTTTTTTTGAAAAATGAATGTATATAGATTTTGGTTCCCTTTACTCATTATATCTTTTGTTGTAAATTGTAATCGTTTTTGAATCAAAATAAAACCCTCATTCATCAAAAGAAAAAGTGTTGTTAAACGGCTCAATTTGGGTCGATTTTTGAAAAAGGACCAACCCAATAATTTAGCCAGAGGAGTATGGCATAAACCTCGAGATTTCGCTACCAAGCCTTTGTGCCATTTAAAATCTTCAGGTTTGCGTAATCATTTCCAGGATAAAATATTAGATCCGCCCTTTTTAAAAATCGGCTCAAATCGAGCACTACTTTTTTTAAAAATTATTATTATTATAAAATTATGTGTAAAATAAAATAAAAATAGGATCGGTTTATTGAAAGGTCCTATCCGATTTTTTTAAACTGGTAAGTATAGGCCAAGATTTCATTTGGTATTTAACAAATGCACAGCCCTCAAAACATTATATATAATTTAAATGGATAAGATTCTCTTATAGATGGATTTGTATTAAATAAGGGGAAAAAAATCACGCCATTTATCAAATGTAAATAAACTACCATATTGTTTAAAAAAATATTAGGATCAATGATTATAATTCCTTTATATTAATTTTTCTTTTCAACAAAAAAATATACTTTTTTTTATCTTTTCCCAAGGAGTTCCCTTCCTCCTGCACCTCTCTCCATTTTGAATTTTATCCTTTGAATAAGGTGACTCTCAATAATACACTGGATAAATCCAAAGATGACAATAAGGCCAAGCCTAATGTAATAAATCAATTTTTTTTTAAAAAAAAATATAAAACCTTATCAAATTTTTTGGTTGCTTTATATTAAAAATTTATCGTGGCATATCAATCAAGATTCTTCCGAACCCTTGAAATGTGGGTGAAATTGTGTACACAAATTTAGGTACACGTAATTAAAACCGCTCTTACATTTTTGGAGCTATTATAAATTTTGATTCTGATATCAAAGTGTTAATACATTTTTTTAAAAAATATTTTAATTTTTTGTAATTTTTTCAATGTGCCTCTTCATTTAATCCTGTTCTAGAATAATCCTTGAAAAAAATGAATTTGCAAATGTTACTAAGATCAATCTATATCTATATAAAAAATGGAAATATTTGGCTAATGGGAAAAATTTATATAAACACTAAAAAAAACACGGAATATTTTTTAACTTGTGTAATTAACAGTTTTAATATTATTTAAAATGTTTTTTTTAAAATGAAATTCTTATTATTGTAAAGAAGCGACATCACATATTATCCCAATATTTTTATTGGTAAGGAAATATTTAAAAAATATTATCCCAATATTTTTATTGGTAAGGAAATATTTAAAAACAGCAAATCACACCTATTATACCATATTCCCAACAATATTTTTCAATCATCCAATTTCATAATTTTTTTTTTTGAAAATTTTTGCATAAATATATATTTTCGCTTCTTTACTATTAAAAAAAAATATTATAATAAATATTTTTTAAATAATGAATAAAATATGCTGGAACAAGAAAAAAAACCTCTTGTCTTTTTGTTAGGAGTTTTTATCGATTTTCTTCATGAAATCGAAAACTTAGATTCCAGTTTTTTATACAGATATAAATTAGTCTTAATGACGTTGGCTTAAAATTCCAAAAAAAAGGATAAACTGTTTATTTTTTTATAACTTTAGAATAGCATTAAATAGACCGCCACATAAAAAATAAAATTAATATTTTTAAAAGAATTATAATGTTACGCTTTATTTTGATATTAGAATCATTATTTATTATTCCATAGTTTTTAATAAATTGAGAAAAAAAGGTCATTTTTCATACTTCGATCCTTGATATTTCAAAAAATATAAAAAATAGCATTCAAAAATTTGAACACTACTGTAGTCACGTGTCCCTTAGTTTGTAAATAAAATTTTGCCTAAATCCCAAGAGGTTCCGCGGAAATGATACTTTTTGATCTATTATCGCTAACTTGTAACGCATATTATTATTGAAATAAGTTATAATGTCGATCTGAACTCTAAGGCGAATATTTTTTTTTTCGTTCCATTATTCCCTTAAATTTTAATCTTTTTTTGTTACATAGAGCAAAGAAGCCGTCAATCCTAACTCTTTGATAACCATTCATGTTGACAACGTCGACAAAGTAAATACAATACACCATAATGTTCTTTATTAAAATAATTTCTCAGTTAAATTTAACCCGAAATATATAGGAGATGGGTATAGAAAAAAAGGAAAGAAATGAAATACAACAAATTTTTTTTTGCAAACAATTTAATCGATTTTTTTTATATTACGAAATTTTAGTTGATAGGCAAATATCCCATACCGTCTCACGTTATGCATGATTTGTTCAAACGTTTCGATATACCCGATGACCAAAAAGTTTACATCTAATTATCCTATTTGAATCATTTATAAAATTTTATGGGATGCCTATTTTTAGAAAAATATTTATTTGAATTTTGATTGTCAAGGAAATTGTTAATTTTTATTTTTACTAGTCTTAAATAACGTCCGGATTAATTTAATTTTGTGCTTTATTGGGAATAATCCCCCCCCCCCCATATTTTTCTACATCGGATTTCATTTTGTAGAAAAACAGAGAAGATGCGGATCACTTGTATTACTATTCAGAATTATTTAATTAGTGTTTATTGATTAACCTTCCTCTTATTTTTTTCTCTCTCATCTATACAGATACAACTATTTTCCCAAATCAGATTGGCTTACCATTTTTCAGACTATAATGAAAGGGTGCTGTGCGTGCGTGCACGGTTAAAGGCGATATCTATACTGAGTGAGTCATAATTGATTTGGGTTAAATAAAATGGGGGTTAAGAGAATGGAAGGAGAAAGCTAAAGAAAGAATAAAATTAACCAAAAAAAGGAAAGAAAAAATAATAGAAAAATATAAATCCTATCTAATACATCTATAATAAATGTCGCCAATTCTCATTATTAAAATAAAAGTGTACACCAAAATGTTCAAAGAGAAAATGGACACGTTCATATACCCTGGATTGGTCGAAGAAATTTGCGAGATTTTAGCTCTGAGCGAAACGCCTGATTATTTGGTAACTAATGGTCTTTATTCATTATAACATTTGAATAACCTAAATGATATTTCTAACCATGCTCTCCATTTTGGTATTTAATCAATTTTAGGGTTTTAAGAAATCACTAAAATCTACCATTGCATCTTATATGCCATTGATATTTTTTTAATCTCACAATATTTACTGATGAATAAATAGACTTAGTGACTTTGTGAAAGCTTACCCTAATCTTATTATTGGGACTGAACGATATTACTAGCAGCTCAACAAATTAAATTTTATTTTATAAATTTATAATTAATTTTGTTGTAATTATGTCTATAATATAAATGTATGACTTAATAAAATGAAACCTGTACACATTTAGGAAACCAAGACTGTAGCCGTAAAAGCTCTAACTTCTCTAGTGAGCATACACGACCTCGCTTCTAACAAGTGAGCTTACATTTTTATAAAATAAATAATATTTATGTTTGATATAAAATGATCCACGAGAAAGAAGAAGAAGGATGTAAGAAAGTAAGGAATGAAAAAGGAAAGAAAGTGAAAATGGATGAGGAGAAGAAATAATATTAAAAGAAAATAGAAAAAAATTAATGCCTTTTATTATTTAATCACGTATTTTGAAAATGCCACAAAAAGCAACGTGATGTTAAATTCTATAATTGAACACACCCAGCTAGCGTCTCACACTGGTTTACTGCCACATATAATAAAAAATTTTATTGAACGCGATATTAAGAGACTCAACCACTTTACCTCCAAGAACGCCGACGTCGACAACGAAAAAAGTCAGCTTTTGATGTACGGCATTTCGCTCTTTTCTTTCCTGTACCATTTGGCCGAAATGACCGAAGGTTTTAACAAAACAATGAATTTTTTATTGTAGGAATTTGTAATTAGAAGGGAGAATAGAAGGAAGGTAAGTAAGAATTTACAAGGAAGAAATGAATGAATTTGATAAATTTTATCATCCCTACTTAATGTTATCAAATTAAGATTCCGATATTTTCGTATCAAGTGGACTCCTAAAGGATCTTTTAAAAGTTGTGTCAGATTTCAAAGAGGATCCTAATCAGATCATGGTAAAAGTGTTATATCTTTTATATTTTATGATGCATTTTTTTAATGGAACTGAAACCATGTATAATATATTTTGAAACCTTCATTGGCGGTTCCATGTCAATTCAGCAAAACTTTTATCGCAAATCCACATTAGCGAATATTTTTCCGCAAAAACAATATAGCAAAACAAATATCGCGAATTTTTTTTTGCGAAACTTTTATCACGAAACTTTTAAAGCGAATAGATTAGTGCGAAATTTTTATCGCGAATCAATAATCGTGAAAATTTTATAGTGAAGTCAATATCGCGAAACATAAATCGCAAAGACAATATAGCGAAAACTATTTCGCGAAATATAACGTGGTCTATTATTATTTTTTTATTTTTATTAAAATAATTTATTTTATTTATATTAATGTTAATATTTTATTTATCAACAAATAACCATATTATATGTATGATATATATTTTATTTTTTATTTATATTATTATATTATGAAATGAAAAATGGATTTCTTTTATTTGATATTTTTTTAATAAAAAAAATGATATGCCACTATTGTAATATTATTTTTGTTACAATTTATTAGTGATTTTACATGCCCAAAATTTTAAGCAAAAAATATTTTTTGAAGTTCAAAAAGATTTTTAAACATATTTTGATAAAAATTTTAAATCTTTTTTGAGGAATTCTTTTGTGAATTTTATTATAAATAAACAATCTTTTAGGTGAAACCTTTTATAGATTTTTTTATCATTTTTGTAAAAATATTTATTTTTTAAGTATATTAAAAGAGGTGGGTTTTCTAAATAATATTTTTTAAAAATATTTTTATTTAACTTATTTATGTATATGATTTTTTTAAGGAAAATAATTTAATCTGACAATTTTTATATTCGTTATTGAAGATGTTCCTTGGAAAAATGACAATTATTATAATCGGTATTTTTAAACATTTTAGATTTTTTTTACGGTTAAATATGTATTTTTAACATTTTAAATTTTAATTAAGATGCACCATATAAAAGTGACAATTATCATAATCGTTATTTTTAAACTTTTTTTGACGTATATGGGCCAAAATAAGTATTGATAACATGTTTAAATAAAACTTCAGTAAAGATGTACCCAAGATAAGTGACAATTGTCATAATCATTTTTAAATTTTTTTGAGGCAAATGGGCAAAAAATAAATTGCTAACATGTTTAAATAAAACTTCAGTGAAGATGTACCCTAGATAAGTGACAATTTCATAATCGTTATTTTTAAAGTTTTTTGAAGCAAATGGGCAAAAATAGAAATTGCTAACATGTTAAAATAAAATATCAACGAAGATGTACCATAGATAAGTGACAATTATCATAATCGTTCTTTTTAAAGTTTTTTCAATTTTTTTGATACAAAAGGGTAAAAATATAGATTGTAAAAATGTCAAATTAAAATTTCATGAAGATATACCATATAAAATTAACAATTGTCATAATCGTTATTTTAAAATTTTTTGAGGCAAATGGGCTAAAATATAAATTGCTAACATGTTAAAATAATATTTCAGCGAAGATGTACCCTAGATAAGTGACAATAATCATAATTGTTATTTTTAAAGTTTTTGAATTGTTTGACGCAATTGGACAAAAATATAAATTGTTAACATGTTAAAATGAAATTTCAGTCGAAACAAAAAAAAATCGATATTTTCATTCTCATAATCGTTGTTCCTTTTATCCTGCTTAAAATTTGATAAAAATATGCAAAGTGATTATTAAAGATAGTTGTAACCTATGTTAAATTCTATACTTTTAAGATATGGATTCGCAATCTTATTCCTTTAATTAATAAATTTTAATTCTACATTATAAAAATGTATAACCTTGCATTCACCGTTAGCAAATATTTTTGTATACTCGTGGCAAAATAGTGCTGAGTCTGAATTCAGGGTAGGATTTTTATATAAGAACTTAAAACCATCTGAATAATATTTAGTAATATGATACAATCAACATCCTATAAATTTAATGTTAAGATTTTATCAATCTATAATTTAACCCATTTACATCAAAAAATAACGATTATAAGAATTGTTCTTTTTCAATGGTATATCTACATGAAATTTTATTATAGCATGTTTACAATCTTTATTTTAACCCATTTGCAACAAAAATATTCAACCTTATTAACAACGATTATGACAATTGTAACTTATCTATGGTACATCTTCACTGGAATTTTATTTTACATGTAAGCAATTTATATTTTTGCCCATTTGCGTCTAAAAAATTCAAATAATTTTAAAAATAACGATTATGACAATTGTCACCTTTCTATGGTGTATCCTCATGAAATTTTAATTTAACATGCTTACAATCTATATTTTTACCCATTTACGTCAAAAAAATTCAAAAAAGTTATAAAATAACGATTATGACAATTGTCACTTTTCTATGGTACATCTTCATGAAATTTTAATTTAACATGTTTACAATCTATATTTTTACCCATTTAAGTTAAAAAAATTTAAAAATAATGATTATGAAAATTGTCACTTATCTGTACATCTTCACTGAAGTTTTATTTTAACATACTAGCAATACTTATTTTAACGTATTTTGGTCAAAAAAATTCAAAAAACTTTAAAAATTACGATAATGACAATTGTCACTTTTCATTGGCATGAAATTTTAATTTAGCATGTTTACAATCTATATTTTTACCCATTTGCAACAAAAAAATTCAAAAAACTTTATAAACAACGATTATGACAATTGTCACTTTTCAATGGTAGATCTTCATGAAATTTTAATTAAGCATGTTTACAATCTATATTTTTACCCATTTACAACAAAAAAATTTAAAAAACTTTATAAACAACGATTATGACAATTTTAACTTATATCTGTGGTACATCTTAACTGAAATTTTATTTTAACATGTAACAACTTATATTTTTGCCAATTTACGTCAAAAAATTGTAAAAATTTTTTTAAAATAATGATTATGTTACAGCCTAATTGAAATTAATGTTAAAAATACATATTTTTGCCCATTAGCGTTAAAAAAATCTAATATGTTTAAAAATACCGATTATGATAATTGCCATATTTCCAAGGAACATCTTCATTGAATTTATAATATAATATCTTTTCAATATAAATGATATTTTTTTTTGAGTCAATAAATTTCAAAAATCTTAAAAAATAATGAATATGACAATTGTCACATTAAATTATTTTCCTTAAAAAGATCATATAAAACAACATAAATAAGTTGAATATAAATATTTAAAAAAAAATTATTTAGAAAACCCACCTCTTTTAATATAAAGAAATTGATAATTTTAGAAAAATGATAAAAAAAACTATAATAGATTTCACTTAAAAATTGTATATTTACAATAAATTTCATATAAGAATTCCTCAAAAAAATATACTTACAAAAGAAGATTTAAAATTTTTATCAAAATATGTTCAAAAATCTTTTTGAACTTCAAGAAATATTTTTTATTTAAAATCTTGGGCGTGTGAAAATCACTAATAAATTGTAATAAAAATAATATTACAATAGTAGCATATCATTTTTTATTAAAAAACATCAAATAATAAATAACAGTTGTTTTCTTTTAAATAAATGCATTTGCAATATATTTATTGTTTTGCGGTAATGCGCTCGCGATAATGACTTAGCGCAAACATATTCGCGATAAAAAATTCGCTGTAAAGTGTTCGCATAAGTTTCGCTAAAATGCATTCGCTCTAATAAATTAGCGGTTAAGGTTTCGCACAAATAAATTCGCGAAATTGTCTTCGCTATAAATGTTGCTATAAAAACTTTTCGCGATAAACGCCATTCGTGATAAAAGTTTCGCTGAATTGACCTGATACGTTCGTTGGCCATTTCCACACAAACGATTTTTATCTAGGATAAGGTTACCGTTATCTTCGATGTGACTAATTTTGTTGATCAATTAAATTTCTTGTAAACTAAAAATTTTATTCAAAATTGTTGAATTTTAACCGAAATATATTTCTAATCTTGAAATTAAGAAATCGAGGATATGCAAAAGTAATAAATAAGTAAAAAAGAGAAATGATAAAAAATAAAGTATTAAAATATAAATTTTTTATTTATTTTATAGTTTGAAACGAGGGCCGTTAGAATAATGGACATGATATCTTCCATCGACATGCATGCCTTTTTCAATGAAAATGGACCTAAAGTTTTATTGGCCAGATTTCAGGTTTGACCTCCCTTTTTAAAAAAATTAATATTAGGTTACCGAATTTCGGGAACGAAAGTTTTATGGTCAATTTACAAATTTGATTCAATATCAATTAATAATAACTAACTTTATTAAAATGAAAGATTGTTTAGCAAGTTTTTCAAATTAAAATATGGTTTATGTAGAAAGAAACGGATATCTGCCTTAGACAAGTTCCTTACATCATCGCACATCCTTGCCCTTTGGCAAATAAACTAACACGGAAACCCGACCAATTGAATACCGGCCCCTCACGTTCCCCCAATTATTCCCTTTCTTCCACGTCTGACAACGAAATTGAAACTTTGGAAGAAAGAAACAGAGAAAAGAACGAGGAAGGAACAAAAATGGAAGAAAAGAATGAGGATGACGAAGACGAGGAAGGGGAGGGATTGGAAGGGAGACGGAATGCCAATGGAAAGGAGTCCAAGCCTCCTCGTTACTACCTCAGGGAGGACTCCGAAAGCAATCCCTGCGCCTTAGCCACGAGTTTGAACATACCTGGTAAACAAATATTGTCTTCCCCTCTCCCCAATGTTAGGAAATAAAACCTGATTTTACTCAAAAATTTTAAACATGCACTGAAATATTTATTCCTTCCACCATCATCATGACTTTACAACTAAAAAAAGCACATCTTTTAATTAATTTCAAAATGAGTTTTTTTTGTGAGTGAATAAAATAATCGCTCCATGCAAGCAAAATTCGTTTAATACCCTGATGACGGTAACAGCTATTTAACTAATTATCCTCAGATTAGTCTAACCTTTTTTTGGGTGGTCATTCTTAAATATCGTAATTTCATTTTTTTTTTAAATGTGTGATCAAAAAATTATCTGCTAAAAACATATCGAATATATACTCCACAAGATAAATCAATACGTTGTTTTCCCCCAAGGGCGGCCCTGATGAAATCTATCCTCAATTTACTCAAGAACATAGTCTCCGAGCCTGTTCATATCAACCAATACGCTAGGCAAAGTAATTTTTATTGAATGGAATTATTGTGACTTAGAGACAAAAAAATAGTTGGGTACACTTAGTAGGAGCAAAGTGAATGGTGCATTGAAAAAAAATGAGGAAAGTCATAATATTTATCGTCTAACGCGATTATATACTGTCCCCCCCCCCCCTACTGACATTTTGCTTATATTCTCATTCAATTAATATGATATATCCTTTTGCTATTCAATGAAAAATTTGTCCCCTTTATTTTAAAAAAATATTTATCAATGCCCCGATAATTGTCAATTTTAATGCAAATCATAAAGTGATGAATTCTAACTTCATATCCTGTCTCAAACACGTGATCAGCAATGTGGATTATTATGGAGCTTCCTTATTTCTATTAGGTAAATGAATATTTTTCTCGAGATTTTATCTTAAACCAAAAAAATAATTGATTGTCCTGAATAATATTAATAATAAATGAATAAATCTCAATAATTTTTTGTTATATAGCCTTAGACCTTGTTTCAAATTACATCTTCTCCGAACCTTCTGAGTTATTTTCCATTCAAAAGACTGGGATGACTGATTTAATGTTGAAAGCACTCTTGGAGAAAGAGGTATAAAACATAATTTATTATCACTGGATTTTATTTTGTTAATGATATTGTAATATGTTAATAAATCGCGTTATGACAAACTAAATAGGTGTCTGATTATACTACTAGTGAAGAAATGAGGAGTATTTTTTTTATTATATGATATATTGTATTTTATGTATAATGTCAGTATCTCCATAATTTACCCAGGTGAATAAATGCAGTGTAGTGTGTTTTTGTAAGAATTTAGCCTCAAATATGTTGAATAGTAAGAGGGTATTGTTATGAAAGATATCGATTTGTCCATTCACATTTTTTTTGATATTTTGTTTAATGACTTGGCTTATTATTTTTTTTCAAACAATGTGAGAATTGATTAAATTATATTCTTATTGCCTAAAAACTAGGGGTTGTCCGATACTACTTTTTGGAGGCCGATCCAATATTCCCAATATTAAATTGTTATCCACCGATTACCGATCCGATACATATTATTAAGGTTGGCAAAAAATGAAAAAAACAGATACTTAATTTTATTTTAATATATATTTAAAACTGATAAGTACAATAATTTTCTAAGTTTATATAGTTTACAAAATCTATAAAGTAATTTATGTCGAATAATTGAGTTAATTTTATAAACGAGTCTGCGGGTTAAAGTTAATATAATATAAAGAATAAAAAAAAATCAATAATTTATTTAATAGATCGCGATAAATTAATAGATCAATTTATACATCATAACACATATCAATTTTGTATTCTGTAAAGATTACAATGGTTTTAATTTTAATATACTTTTTATTAGTATAACATCTATATTTTAAACTTATGTAATTTAAATATATAATATGATCAGTTATAGTTTATATTCAATTCAATTGTAATTCTAAAAGTATATAAAATATTTTTATTGTTAAATCATTTTTTATCAAATATATATGAAATTTGAAATAAATATTTTAAAATAATATTTAACATTAATATATCTAAGATTTCTTTTTAGAAATACCAAAATTTCCAATTTATTAGAAGTCAGCCTACGACTATTGTAACTGTCAATATCACTAGCTTCATTAAAAACTGATTCTGAAGAGATTATCTCACACTTTTATAAACAGAATGCGCGAAAAAATAAATATGGCAGAATGTTAATTAATTAATTATTATTATTTAAAAAATATATATATAAAATAGATTTCGATTTTATTTATAAAAATAAATGATTTTAGATATGACTTTTTTTAAAAATTTTATAACATTTTATTTTTGTTAAAGACGCCATTTTATATCGGATTGGATTGGAAAATTTTATAATATTGGCCGATAACCGATATTTAAATGAACGAAATATCGGCCCGATCCGATAATCGGTACATGCCTACTAATGGCTAAATTTCGGCTAAATTGACTCAACCTTCAGGCGCCTGCCGGGGAAAATCCGTCAACATTAAGGCGTTTAATTTATATAAGCTTCTTTAAAATTTTAGCTGCTATCTTCTTAAGAAAAACCCCAAGACCAAATGGTTTATTTGATTTTTCGCCGGTTAAAAATATAGTAATTGCCCAACTATACTAAGGACTAAATCTTGCTCATTTTTTCCTTAGGTAATTCCATCTTGCATTATATAATGCTAAATACATTGCATAAATATTTTTAATCGAAAAGTTTCCATCCACCCGAGAAATAATGACATCTCTCCCTACCATCTTCACCAGTCTGTGCCTCAACCATAGGGGTATGCGAGCGTTTCTGGCGAAGGAACCCTTCGACAAGCTTTTTAAAATTCTAATCTCACCCAAGTATCTTTCCGCCCTTAAACTCAGCCCGAAGCAATTGAAACGGCGGCGACGTATGCTTAGCAGAGCCGACCCCCCTAACGCTTCTTCCTTCAGTTTATTTTTTATATTTTTCTTTCCAATTTTTTTTCCTTCTAATTTGGCAGAATTTTAACCCAATAAGAACCCAATAATTGTGCTGCTTAAAATGCATACCATATTTACACTAGAGCCTCCACATGCCTATTTAAAAATGGATCGAATAGTGCATTATTTGTATTTGAATCGAACGAATTAAATAGTTTACTATTCATATTTGTAGGAATAATTAAATTAACTATTTGTATTCGATTCTAATTATTCGAATAAATCTTCTTTTTTTAAAATATAAAATGATGCAAGACCGAATTTTTAATTTTTTTTTATTATTGCATATCTATTTTTAAATAGAAAAGGAAAATGTAATAATTTATAATAAAGAATCTGCGATCAAGTTGTTAACGATAATACATATTTAATTTATAATGCTATACCAATTTTTTAAGATGTGTTTTCCATTTTTTTTAATAAGACATAAGATTATGACTGAAAATTCGGTTCAACTAAGAGCAGTTCATGTATACCTTGTTAATCACATAGGCAAATGCTTTAATTTTATTAAAAAACATATTTATTATTCTGAATAATTCTAACATCTAATTATTCATATTATTCGAATAATTCTTTATTCGTATTCTAACAAAAATGAATAATTTACAATTCGTTTCTACTCCTAATTAAACGATTCATTTTTTTGAGTAGACTTAATCTAGGCTTAAATTTCAAATCATTTTAACAATGGTTAAAAAAATAAATAAAATATCTCCAATATTTTTAGCGGAACCTGCCCAAGATTTCGGAGCTATGATTGACGAATTATTGAGACACCAACCTACCCTGAAACAAGACGCTATGGCTTCCATTTGCAAGGTTTTCTTACCTCATTTAAAAAAAAATATATATTGTATAGTTGGAGTGTTTACTTTCTCCAATCATATTTTTGTTTAGTTATTCCGTTCTTTTATTAACCCTTTTCTCACAAACCTAAAAGGTTATAGCCGAGCTTGTCGCCATGGGCAAAAGTCACCAATTCGAGCTCAAATCGACTCCAGTATCAAAACCTGCCCCTACCAATACCACTTCCACCGCGTTGACCACTACTCTTACTACAACTTCTAACTCTAACCTTCCCACTAATAACACCACGCCTCCTACATCCCAGGACCGTATATTGAACCCTACTACTAGCGAGATTTCGCAACCTGATAATTTAAATATTTTTCCCTATGGTAGGGCCTTATCTGTCTCGCCTGCTCGTAGCACTTCATCTTTAACCAGCAGTTCGATCTCTAGCCATGATTCCTGCCATTCCAATTCTGATCTGGAAGATAATCTAGATAATTTAGGGGGTCCAGAGCCGGTAATCACTGAGAATAGGAACGTAGAGGAAATACAAAGGGAGGACCAAAGGGACTTAGAAGGGATCGAGGGTGGAATGGAGAGGATGAATGAGACCTCCGGGGTTAGGACAGGTCTAGGGGGGATGGAAACCCTATTCGAGGAGAGAAGTAGGATAACTGCCAGCGAAAACATCGTCGATATCAATGATGGGTGATTTTTTTTCTTTCCATTTATTTTTTCTATTACAAAAAAAGGTCATATTTTATAATAAACAATTACCTGTTTTATAAAAATCTTCATTAATTATATTATTATAAAATTCTATCGATAAATTGGATTACAATTGCATCTTGTCTCATGAAATATTTGCTAATTGTCAGATGCGAAGGTTTCCAGACGAGATATTATAGGTCTTAATTAACATTTTAAATTTTTATTGGAGAGTTTAAAAAATTTTAATATAAATAAATGAATAGTTTAATAATATAAAATAATAGAATAGGTTATTTAAATAACATTATACTCTATTAATATTTAATAATTATCATCCCTAATCAAAAATTATAAAAGTAGTGATTGGCATTATTTACACATTTTTGCCTCCATTTATAAAAGGGATAAAATAAAATTTTATTAACGCCTGATGAAATGAATTATTTTTATTTGTTACTGGGGTACGATGCCATCAGTGTCAAAATTATTCTTAAAAGAATGAAAAATAAATAAAGAACGTGTTAAACGTTAATATACCAAAACCGTAAAATAATTATTTATTTATTCATTTTTACTAACTAATTTATTCAAATATTTTTTCACCAAAAGCTCGATGGACACGAATCATGATAATATGGAACCTGGTAAGAAACACTCGAAATCAGGTTCTCATCATCAGGAAACTTCCCATTTCTTGGATTTTACTTATAACGTGGTATGTATTTACCTTGTTGCTCTCATAAATAAATCATTGCCCTGTTGATAGCACAATTATCGCCCTTTCATGGCTATTATATAAATTTGGAAAAAATTGCTTCTTTAAAAAAATATTTTTTTTGATAAAATTAATATGGTTATGGACCCTTACATTCAAACATACAAATCTATCAATTTTTGTTAAGAACGATTTAGTTTTAAAATTAGGATCCATTACGATGGTCTGATAACATATTTTAATAGCCCCAACACTTATTAACTGATTTCTGAATGATGTACATTCCCTCTACCTATGCAAATATTTTTGTAATGATAATATTTACCCCCTCTCTTAAAAAGCTATTTTTGTACATCAATTTATTGTAATATAAGTTTCATGCCGAACTGTCATTTTATGATGTTGATTAAGGTGACATAATAATATGTAAACATCACTAAATTCGTGACAGGTATAGAATATTCACCCCATTTTTAACCTAATTAGCCGCCTCTTTTACTTAATTTGATATCTTAGGGCGTTTTGATTGTTATTTTATAATGTGTATGCAAAAATCGCCTTGTTGGAGGTATACCGATTACCCTATACAGCCTTTTAGAAGTCGATTTGATCAAGTTGATATTAGCCTATCGACAATATCCTTCTTTCAATTTTTAAAGATAATATCATGGCGAGAATATCTTTAGGGAAAAGGTTGAATAAAAAATATACCAATAAAAATAAACTGAAATAGTTTAATTTGACATTTTTATATAACAAATCGGTCTGTCTAACTTTCGCCCAATAACCAATTTACAAAAATATAAAAGTTCTGACTGTTCCGATATTGAGAATCATACATCCCTTATAGCTATTAAGCTATTAATTCTCGAAAAATACAAATATACATATATTTTTTTACGCCTGCTTTTTTCCCCCTCTTTCTATTTGCCTCCAGCTCAAGTTTTTGGAAGCCATAATCTCGAACGGTTTTAGTAGCGACCATTGCCAGGCCTTCATAAACAAAGGCGGGGGCGATCTATTGTTGCAACTAGTGAGCCTGCCCGTTCTACCCTTCGATTTCATACACACCAAAGCTTTCAACGCTTTCGTTTCCGTTTACAAATGGGTCGTGGTGAGTATTAGCAAATGATAAATAACGCCAAATATATCATAATATATACTAGTAGAACAGGATGAGGAAATAGATAGGAACGGAGGGAGAGAAAAGAAATAATGAAATAAGGATTGAACAAGCAAGAAAATTAATAAAATGGAAATTCTATGGCTATTAATCAAATTTTTCATGTATTTTATAAAAAATAGAGTTGTCCAAAAAAGACACCATTTTTAGCTCTCAAATCTAATCATTTTCCCCTTTAAAATAAAATGGAATAAATAAACTTTTAGACATACAGCCACTACCCTACTATTCTTAACATGTGCTCGAAGACGCTTTATGAACGGATGGAATCTCTTCGTTTCGACAATGAAGAATTTTGGCCCCATTCCACCATTTACGGTCTAATTCAAAATACGGAACAGAAGCCAGTTAGAATGGGTGGGTATGGCCTATATCCACTTAATCCCTGGGTGTTTGGCCAGTTATCTCATATAGTTACGCTGGTTTATCTTCTCAAGAGTGTCAACAAATTGCCCAAGGTTTCTTAACTGCTTTTTATATTATGTTTAAAAATAAGTAATATATTATAAAAATAATACCCTTACTCCCATCCTTTTTCTTAATTTTATACAATAAATATTTGATGTTATCTTTCACTATGAATATTTAGTTGGAAGTCAAGAAATCTATAGCGCAGTATTGGACGTCTAACGTTGGAAAACCTCTTATATTAACATTAAATCATTTCGCTTTGCGATTGTTCCATGAGAACCAAAAATATTTGGGTATTTAAATTTTGATTCAATTAGTTCAAATTGAAAGAAAGAAAGAAAATATATTAGCTAGAGGAAAGAAAGTAAGAAAGAGAAGCTTGAACCAAATTTTTATATTCCATTCTCTATTCTATCATACTCTTTTAACCAACAACCTAATAGCTTGCCCTAATCACCCAGACCCCCCATCGGATCGCGATATTAAAATTTTTTCAGGTCTTTCTTCTACCCTTAACGACTCCTTATTGTCCTTGACAAGCGGACTTATGGAAGTATGCTCATCCTCTTGCTTCTACAATGCTCCTAGTAATACAGCCCCAGTCTCTAGCAATAGAACTAACCTGGCCAGCAGTAGGCCAGAAAATAGCCTCTCCCAGAGCGCAAACCTTCAAAACAGGCAAATTTTCTATTTCATAATTGATTTTATAAAAATGCATTGATGTAAGAATGGGGGAAATAATAATTTTAATAAAAATAATATTTATTAATCCTATCGAAAATAGACAAATAACGACTTCAGCCAATGAGAATTCGGCCATGGCTAATCCTACTACCACCACCAGTACAGCTATAAGCTCTGCAAGTAACAGACGGGCTATCTATAACCCTCCCAGACCATATATGCCATCCACTAGCCAAGGGCTCGATAGTATTTTAACCTCTTCTGCAGGCCTACCTAACCCTACTTTGTATAGCGTTATAAATACGGCGGCCATGTGCGTCACCTTAAATTACAGGATAGTCTTGAAGTTGTACAATACTGGTGTGCTCCGGCCTAAGTACATTTAATATTTTGCATTGCCGGAAAATGTTAATCTTTATATCATTTACCTTCAAAATCTTTATTTTATTAAATTTTGAGAAACATGAGATCTGTAAAATTTATATACAGATATTCTTATGACGGGATTGTTAGTTATTCTTAGTACCTAAGAAGATTCTGATTTTGTTTTATATTATATAAGAAAATCATGTAAACAATTTTGCTAATAATAATTATAGGCTAAATTTTTATCAATAATTATCATCGATTCTAAATTATTCCATTTATCTATCTTGATAATAGTTGTTTTCCATTAGGGATTTTGTTTTTTATATATAAGCTATCAAGTTTTTTTTAGCCACAGAAGATAAAAAAAAAACTAAGGAAAGTAAAGAAAATAAATAAAGTTACGAGAAAGTTGTAGGAGAAAAAAAATGAAATATTATCGAGTTATCTTTAAGAACTATGGAAGCTAAATAAATTCTAAATAAATTGGGACCGACACCAAGTAAGATAAAGTGATTGACACAAGGTTAGTTAGTAGTAATATGATTATATACAATTTGATTATTTAGATCTAGATGCGTTCCCTACTTCCTTCAATTCTTGAGGCAAATGTGCCGAATACTTCTCAATGACAAAAAAGTCGCCAATAAAATGACGTTGCAAAAATTCGTGGCCTCCAAGACGCTGGCTTACTTTTTCGCCTCGCTTCAGCTCGTGATCTTGGGTTAGATTTTTTTAAAGAAATTTATTTTGAAAGAGTAATTATAATTAAAAAAATTTTGCCCACCTTTCAATGCGTGATATTATAGGAATAAGGATTTATTATAAGATTAAATGTAATAATTCGAATCACAAATACACTAATTTTTAGAATTTTTTAGCCACTTCACTAAATCCAGAATTATAATTGTGTAGAAACAGCTCTCTTATTTAAATATTATTTGAACTGAAGTGATTATTTTAGTAAATTATAATATAACTTAAATATTAGTTTATCTATCATCTATATAGGTGAAAGTATCTTTATATTAAGTATTTCCCGTTTTCTCTCTATTTTTACAAGATTCCTAGTACACACTCCTCTCGACAGCTGTTATTTTACGAGATATGCTAGGCTAACATTAAATTCTAGTGTTATAATAAAATACGATAACTAACGTCAATTTGGGAATTTAGACCAATCAGTTGTCTATTTTTCATGCTTATATTATTCATTTTAAAAAAATCTTAGACGATGATAAGGATGACAAGAATTCGCCTCCAGCTATAAATTCCAAGGATATTCAATGTTTCCTCGACTTTTGGGTTCTAATAACCACTCCTCATACCCTTATGGAGCCTTCCCTCCGACTTATACCAGGGATGCCCGATTTGTCAACGAATGAGCGCTCAAAGTTAGTGAGCCAACTGGAACATTGCAAATTCGCATCTTACGTCTACTCCAATACCCTGAAAGTTCTGGGTTTATGGTTGGATAAGATAGGCGCTACTGAAGTATATTATAAAAAAAATATGTATCTTTTTTCGTGTGGATTAATTATTTCGGCATGGAATCAGGCTGCTTATATGCGGACACCCTTTAGTTGATTTCTTCAAGCATTTGGGGCGAAATATTGATGGGGACGAATAAAAATAAAGATAGGGATATAATAATGAATTGAAAAGAAGAATAGAGAAATTTAATTATTCACACTTTTACTTATCTTGTATCACTAAGTCGCCAGCACTCTTGGATCCCCTTTCGGTTCAAGCAATTTGTTCCATCGTTATAAACACTATCAGTGGGTCACGCTCCATCCAAAACAAGCTTGAAATGTTCGCTAAACTTAAGAGCAAGAATCTCGTCATCTCTAACAATAGCGCTAATAGTTCAGCCCTTACGGCTAGTAAAAACATAGCCACCACAAACAGCAACCTACCATCGTCCGAAATTGTCGGCACTGGTACAGACCAGGGCCTGGTAGCGGGTTCAGAAGGTTATTTGTGTTACAAACATTATCAAAATATTTTTTGGTTAAAAAAGTTGCTCTCCAGAGCATGGTATTATTGTTGTAAATGGATATCAAACAACATAATTAAAGAAAGGATTAACATCATAATATAATTACCATGTTTAAAAATATCAAGTTTAAATATTAGGTGTTTTACAATCGGAATAGCCATTAGTGTTCCCGCAATGGAACTATAATTGTATTTAATTATTTTATAAGGTATATGCGAAAATTTTTCATATTTTTTAAAAAAAATTTCTTGATTCGGCATTATATAATTCTATTATTATTATATCTTATCCTTTAAAAAAAATTATTGTAATCCAGGAATTCCTACGGTTTCCGCCGATCAACCTCTTCCACCCACGGCTAATAATACTAATAACGCAACTCCGGCCTCGTCCAGAGCATTATACAGTCGTCTTTCCAGAGGAGCTCACAACATTGATGAATACAGTAGAAGAGTGGAAAGTTTGGTCGATATGGGCTTTGCCAGACCCAGGGTTCTTATAACGATAAAAAACTTTGTTCCTTATAATAGAATTAATTCTGATGAGTTAAAAAATAAACTTTGTTTGTGTGATAATATATTATGGTATTTGTGAAAAGAATAGGAAGCAATAATTTAATAATACATTTTTATTGTTAGTCTTTAAATTATTTGATAATGTTTTATCCTACGCAGTCAGTATTTTCCTAGAAAATTTGAGAATGAGAATGACCATATTTATATTAAATAAAAATTTCCACCATATTAGGAAGATTTAGTATCTAAATTTATTTTATTAGATTACGTCCAAATCTGATTGTATCATAATACTTAATTGTTTACGTAAATAATTTAATTATATTTAGACCTAGAGGATTAATTAGCCCACTTTTTATCTCTATTCTTTACCAATCCAATTTATTTTTTATTTAAAACTGGCTTTTAAGTCTTTAACACATTTTAATAAAATATTTTGGGATTTACATGGAATTAAATTCGGATCCCCCCCTTGGAGCTATAAAAATGTTTGAGTTCATATATTTCGCCAGCGAACCAAGACTGCCATATATTGGATTATTATTTTTTAAATTGGCCCAACAAATAAGTTTTGTATCTATTTTAAAGTTCTTTTTTTTTATCACCCAACATAATTAGGTAGTGGAAGCCCTTAGGCACTGTTCAACCTTGGAGCATGCAACGGAATATTTACTGTCTTTGTCAGCGGCAGATATCGAAGCCTTTAGGGAGGAGGAGGAAATTGGTGGTGCTACTGATGTGGTCCCTATAATCGAAGGTACAGAAATGGAAGGAAGGAAAGAAAATGAATATGAATAAGAAATGAAAGAGCCAATTGATAATGTTTTTATTTTACCCCCGCCCACAAATAAAAAAAGAAAACCCCACACCAATTAGTGAAGGCCATAATGCGGATACAAACACTAATTTAGTCGTAGACGTTCCGTTAAGCTCGCTAATAATCGCTCCTCGTGACCTTAATACTACGCATTCACAGGATAATGAGGCGACTATTGCTTCAAACGAGGATACCACTATGAGGGACATATTCAATTCATTGGAACAAACAGAGGTATATTATACGTCGTAAGATATAGTGAGTGCTTTATCCTTATTGCCCATTCGCTAAAATATAACCGGGTATGTATTACTATAATGAATGTAAGGCAAATACATTACCCAAAATATTACTTGAATGCAATTTGCCTGGTATGGGCAATAAATTCTTTATGTGGGTTGGCATTAGTGTACTATATATGAGATGGCCAGATTTGATTATAAATATTACATTAATAAATGTAATTTTTTGCTGGAAATTTGAGTAACCTTTTATTTATGATATACTTGATTAACACATTCATGGTAAACTTTATCGGAATATTTTTTTGCGGTTATCACATATTAAAGAGATGTGCAACAAACCCATTAATAGGTTTAAATATCTAATAATTAAGGCAGAAAAGTCTATTATTAAAATTTTCCTATAGCAATCTTTTGCCTTATAATATGTCTTTCTCTTCTCTTAATTTAATGAAGAGAATTTTTTTATTGTATAATTATGGTTTGAGGAATGGACAATAATTTAAGGCAATAATGTAGCGCTGCGAAACTTTACGGTTCCATTGACTAATATTCAAGAATTTATAAACATTTGCCATAAACCATACATAATATAAATATTTTAAATTGAATATGGTCGACAAATAAAATATTTTAAAAAAAGGAAGAGAAAACAATTTTTATTTTTTTTAAAATAATCACAGGTAGCTATTCAAAGGGCAACTGAAATCGCTACAGCAATTACCAGAGGACAGACTATATCTACCGCTGCTCAAAACGCGTATAATACCCCTTTAGATAATAATGTAATTTATTATCAAAAAATTTCAATATAGTAATTAATAAATTCCTGACACCTTTTAAACGCTAACTTGGCAACTAAATTTATTGATCATATGGAATTTAAAATTTTTATCAGTCATTTATTCAATATTAATTTACACAACATTCATTTTGAAATATTTTAAAATTTGAATAATACTTTGCCGTCATTAGTATTGTTATGTGAAGTTAACCGTTTTTTTAAAAAACAAAACTATAAAAACCCTTTTAATTTGTATACAAATTTTTAACTTATTTCTTTTATATACATCAGAGACCTTGCAGAGGTACCATTTGCAAGATCTAGACTGGCCCAAAATTTTATGGATTTTTATATTTTCAGGCCAAGCCCGGCCCGGATTTTTTTGTATATTATATTTATGAATAATTTTTATAATAATTACGATATAAAATATTAGGCCTGTCCCGGGTATTAAAAAAAAATTTAAACACGGCCTGGTATATTAAAAAATATTAAAATCCCGGTCCCTGTATCCTGTCTTAGAACCAGACCCAGCCTTCAGGTCTCTAATATATATTAATTATCAAAAATATTAATAAGTTTTAAATTTATAATTTATATATTAAATTTTTTAAATGTTCGACTTATTAAAAATTTTGTCATAACTTATTTAAAAAAAAACACTAAATATTTTATAATCCTTTTGTTTTTCCTTTTTCAAAATTACAAAACCAAAAAATATTGTATAATATATGTCTTAAATGCGATAATATAATTAAATTATATTGTTTTTTTTCTTTCGTTCACAAATCACTGTACATGATACTATTATTAATATTAAAATAATAATATAAAACGAATATTTATGCTCCATTATAGCCATAAATCAAAATTTTTTTATGTTTATTTTTTCCAAACGTTCCGGTATTATCATTCTATTCCTTAAAATATACTCAAAGTTTTATTTACAGATCTCTGATTTATATATATTTGCTTTGTTTGTATTACAATAAGGATCAAAGAAGAAAAGCTGATTTTCAAAAATAATTTTAAGCAAAATGCCAATTTTTTTTATAATTTTCAGGTGTAAATATCCTTCAAATTGAAATCAGAAATTTTGATTTTTTTTTAAAATATTTAATTTTAAATATAATTATATTTATAAAAAAGGATTTATTGTTTTTTAAGATAAATTTTATCATTTTTGCAGATATATTATATTATTACTGAAAGGGAATAAGGTAATAAAACAAGGTGATGAAAAGTATGCAAAATATTATTTTTCCTCCTTATTTTAATCATTTTAAAAATACAACGCTAAAACAGGCTTTGATCGATACTAACAGAAATAACGCCAATATTACTAATGCCGAAAATAATAGCCTGGAGATGGAACTGCTAAGGAGGCTTTCAGAAGTGGACACCAGTTATAGGGACTTGGGCTTAGGCAGTTCTGGTTTATTTAATATTTATTGTACCATTTCAAAACTAAAAAAATTAAGAATTTCCATCTATATTTATTATATAATCATGGTGGAATATTCTCCACTATTTGTAGGATAGAGATATTATTTTTAAATTTTTAACAAAATAACTTGTGAAAAGTAAGGAATGTTTAACATGCATGTTTCATTTATAGATGGAATTTCCCCCAATCAATATTTTAGCTTTGACATTTAAAATAAAGGTTCATATTTACTTTATTTTATGGAATACAGTTTATAAATATTAAATTGATAATAAAGAAGAGATTCTAATGTTTTAAATTTTTTTATACTTGCAGAAGAAATCATAAAAACACCGCAAAATGAAACATTAACTATGGAGACTAACGTTTTGGAAAGAATGGAATTAGAACTGGATCCAGATATACAGGACATTCCCTTAGTGGATTTAGCAAGCTTAACGGAAGGCGAAGTAATGCATTATATTTTTTTGATAAGATCTTTACAAATTTCTTCACCAGAACGCATCCGGCATTGTCCAATCGCCCATTTCACGTGATGTGACACAATTTTTGTCGCGGTATTTCTTCCGGCAAATTCTTGACGGAATTTCCCGGTCTCTTGCGATCTCGTTGTTTGGAAAACTGCTGGCAAGTTGTAAAATGTCCCAAGATTCCGGCTGTGTATCCGCCCTTGCTTATATGTATCTGGCTTGTGGAAGGGCGGAAGGGGTTGGGGTATACACATCATCCTCTATTATAAAGGACCTGATTGAAACGGTATTTTTTTTTATAGTTTCAAGTTTAGGAATAAATGAATAAGGAAAGAAATCAAAAGAGAGAGACAAAAAAGATTATCATGAATGAAAATAAATATGTTCAATTAAAAGTTTATTTCTCCAGGTGAAGCCGTGAAAGTTAGACAATACATTAACATTATAATATATTTTAATTAGTTGGGACACTCAATCAATACCTTCGATTTCGGTAAATCGGACGCAACCTTGGAAAGCGAAAATCCTGTTATATCTTTACTGTTCCAAATACTTACACTTATATTCGAAGTAATTTATTTTATTTTTTCTCAACTCCCCCAAAAAGATAAAATTCCCATTAATTTACTATTATTTTAATTAAACTATTTTTTATTTTTGTAACAAAAATTCAAGTCAAATAGTCTTTAATTTTATTACAATCTTAAAATTTGGAATAATTTTTCCTTCAATTTTTGAATAAATTTACGACTATTTTTAAAATAACACCTTAGGAATTAACAAATGACGAGTTGAGCCTGATAGATTTCTCCTCCCTATGCCGTCTCTTGACGCGGTTTCTCGAAAAGTCGCTCTCACTTCATCGCGAAAACCCCCGGGAAATTTCCCCTACCAAAAACCGCGATAATGATGACGTGAACAATGTTTTGAATCGCGATTGGTTCCTCCCTTGCCTGACTCTCCTAGATAGTAGTGCCAGATGCCAAGTCCGACTGGGCTGGGTTTCTTTCCTTTATTTTCCCACAACCGCCAGCCATATAATTACGCGTAATATAGCATTTTCTAAGCCTTCATTTTATTTTAGTTATTTTTTTAAAACCCTAGAGATTTGTTAAATTTGAGCATTTTTTCTATAAAAATAGTTCGCCTTAATTTAAAATAAGAATATCTAATTACAAAGGGCAAATTTCTTTAGATCCCTCACTGTTGATATGTTCCTTTACAATATTACTTAGATTATACTTCTTATATTATGGCATGTCTGTTTATTGTGAATTTTCAAAAATGTATATTACATATAAAAGAGAAAGCCAATCTCAACCCAGAAGAAATCCAAACGACTGGATTTAGTGATTCTGGAGGTCACCAGATCGCGAAAGACGCCGGTAAAGGGATCAAAGACGATAACCAAAATGCTAATTCAGCTATGAATTTGCCATCAAATTCAGTTATAACTCCAATTATAAACGTTCTTCAACCCAAAGCTATTGTTGGTTCATCCACTCGCGCCTCTAACCCAGGTTAAATTTTCTAGAATATTTTGAATATATGCATATGATATTCCCCAAATCCTTCAAATAAAAAATAGATCACTGATGATTTTTATAAATGGGGTTAACTGTTTGTGCCCGAAGTTTAAATATAAAAATAACATTTTTCTATTATAAATATTCTGTAGCTACTTCTTTGGTAACAGCCCGTTCTTGGAGATGGTTAGACGAAAGAACGGGCTTTTGGAACCCCTACCCCTCTTCTTTGGTCCATTTGATTGACTCCTCTTTTGACAGTGGTCAAGATCAGTCCAAATATTCTTGCACTATAAATCCGGTTAAAAATAGTGGTTCCGCCAAACGATTTAACGCGACTGGTTTTACCGGACCCGCAAGCCTCTATTTTTGGTCCATGAGCCAGAGGCTAATAACGGGATCTAACGATAGCAAAGACAATCAAGACGACCATCAAAGTCGGGCCGGGCAACTAAGGGCCGTGGAAATGAGTTTCGAAGGATTTAGGAAAGAACTGCTGAGTGAAAAGGGTAAGCCTAATATGACAATTTTATTTTACCTTTTCTGATATCTTATCTTCGCTGAGGAAACACACAATTAAGTGGCTTACACAAACCAGCAGAGAGCGTCTCCAGTGCAGTGAATTTGCATCCACTGATTGGAAGTAATTTACCATTCTGTCAGGGCCCATTTAATTAAAGAGAGATGATGGTACCTCTGTGGATAAGCCAGGATCCACTGATTGACGGTAATTTACTAAACTGTCAGGGCTAGTTTAATTTAAGAGGACTGACGGTACCTCTTATAGAAAATAATTATAAATTAAGAAGTATTACATATATTAATATTTTTTAAAAATATTATTTAATTAAAAGAGCCTAGTTTAGCCGTTCTTTTAATTGTAGTTTATCTTGAGAAACATTAATAAAAAAGATTACTCTTATAGAAAATAATTATAAATTAAGAAGTATTACATATATTAATATTTTTTAAAAATATTATTTAATTAAAAGAGCCTAGTTTAGCCGTTCTTTTAATTGTAGTTTATCTTGAGAAACATTAATAAAAAAGACTATTAACTATATTTTTAATTAGAATTTGCAATGCTTGGCCATACCAGGATTTGGTATGGTTATAGTATTGTTTTTGGCTTTGTATCTTAAAGCTTTTGTGAATGCTTATTTGATTGTGTCTTAAAGTGTGGCAAAGCAATTCTATTTTTCTAAAATTTAATAATTTTTAAGTGGAAGTATGTGACAAGATTTCCAGAGATTCATTTTAGGATATTTGATATTTCTAACGGATTTATTAAAAGATTTGAGATTTATTAAGGTTAAATTTATTATTTTCACAAGTTTCTATGCCATGTAAGACAGAAATAACATTATGTGGATTTTGAATTTTTTTGAAATAATATTTGAATACGATAGTTTGTTGAAGGAATAATAAATTTTTTTGGTTATAGGTAACCTAGGAATTATGTTTGCTTTAGTTGCACATTTACTGTCAATTATAACACCTAAATATTTTTAAGAATTTATAAAATTTTATCGTTATTGAAAAAATAGATTTGAATTTGATTGAATTTTAGTTTTTTTTCAGGTTTTTTTTCCATATTATTTGACACTGATATTAGAATATTATGAATGCTAGTGACATCTTCAATAAGGATTCATGTCGTCTGCGTAGCATAGCCAGTCTACATTTTGTAGGTTTTTGGTTGATGTCACTAATTAGTAGATTGAAAATGGAGTGTGATAAGGCACATCCTTGTTTTATACCACATTTTTGTAAAAGGTGAGTTTAATCTATTGTATTTAATATGAATGAAACTATTTTCATAAATATTCATGATAATTTTGATGTGTGCGTTGATTTTATATTTAAAAAGAGTATTCCAGATCGTGTGACGACATACTGAGTCAAAGGCTTTTGAAATATCTATAATTATTATATATAAATTGAATTTATGAAAGCAGCTTTTTCAAGTCTAATTTTGCTGTAATTAGTTCAATTGCATTTCTTCCTTTACGGGGATGCAATATTATCGTTTGTGATCGATATTTTTTATTATTTAGTTGTATAAAAAATTTGTATAAATATTGTAGATTAATGATGTGAGGATTATACTTTTCTAGTCATTTGGTAATTTTGGGAATTGTGTTTTTGATAGATTGAGCCATGTAGCATTATTTTTTATTTGTTTCAAACTATTATGAAAGTTGATGTTTGGAGAAGGAAGTTTTAAATTGTTGTTATTGTATTTTTTGTAGGTTGAATGTGTATGATTTTTGGATTTATTAAGATATATAATAATTTAGGTTTAATGATTATTGTAGCAATTATGGGTCTGTGATCAAACAAAAAGTCGATTTTATTAAGAATGTTAATATATTTATATAAAAAGTAAAAACTCATTTTTATGCTTGTAATAAAATCTAATGGACTTTTGTATAAAGAATTATCTTTAAAAAAAGTGTAATAATTGTTTTTTTGTTTAAAATTTATGATTTTAAAATTAAAAGGCTTACAAATTTCTATGATTTTTTTGGCGTTGGTATTTGTTTTTTGGTTTAAGGTAGCATTTTCTATATGTAAATTCGTGGTTTCGTTACCTAATTTCATGTTTAGATCACATCCAATTATTATAAAGTGTTTTTATTTACGTGTCTAAGATGATTTTTTAGATTTGTTATGAATTTTGGATATTCAGTTGGTTTAGCAGGTGCATAAACATTTATTATATGAATTTGTTTTCCTTTACTTTTAAGGGTAATAAATGATATTCTATCTAGGAGTGATTGTAGTTTTTCTTTAAGAGACATTTTAAATTTATTTTGTTGAAGGAGTTTTAAGGTTAATAGGGAATCTATAAATAAAAAATAGTTAAATGAAAAATCTTTGCCTGATTCTTGGATGTAATTTATTGATATTGTTGATAACAACTATTTGTATTAGTAATGTAAAAGCAGACGATTTTCCACAATATTTTCTGTTCTTATACTAATCGTACCATAATGTATCCTTCACAGGTGAAACACACAATTAAGTGGCTTACATCACCCATTAGAGGACGTCACAAATGCATGGAAATTGTTTATTTCTTTAATATTCCAGAGCTCTTAAATAAAATATTTATTCTCAGAAAAATCATCCTAGTAATATTAAAATTCTAATGACTCAAGAAACGATGATAAATTACAAGATTATCAAAAAATTAAGAGGTTGTACTTTATTTACCTCTAGCACCATTAACAACAGAAATGGTTTATCCTTTATCATAAAAGACGATATTCTAAAATACACCAAAAACTTCACTTCCATTAACGACGGAATATTATTTATTACCCTAGAAAGTAAAGGAAAAGATTCATCTAATAAATGTTTATACCCTTGCCAAATCAACTGAATATCCTAAATTTATAACATACTTAAAAAACCATCTAAAACACATAAACAAAAATCATTTTATTATAATTAGAGGTGATCTAAATATGAAACTAGATAATTAAATAACAAATATACATATATGAAATTCTACTCTAAACCAAAAACAAATAATAATACCAAAAATATCATAGAAATTTGTAAGCTATTTAGCCTAAAAATCATATTCTCTTCTTCAAACAAAAAAACAACTGTTACACCTACTTTAAGTACAATTCCTCATATTAAAAGTTAATTGGATTTCTTTATTACAAGTATTAAGATGACTTTTACATAAAAAATATTAATATTTTAAATAAAATTTATTTTTTTCTGATTACAGGCCCCTGACTCTTACTATAATTTTTAAACCAAAATTAGCATATATAAATCAAAATATCATACACTCTCAACTTCAAAAAATACAATATCATTAATTTAAACCTTCCTATTCCAACTATGAATTTTCACAATAGTTTAAAACAAATCAACAATAAGGATTCATGGTCTAACATCTCAAACACAATAATAAAAACTGCTAACTCATACCTCAATATTAAACCACAATACCAGGACTGGGTCAGTTTAGATATATCAAATCTCATAAAATTGTTACCTAATAAAAGTAAGAAAAAAAGGAAAAAGGCAAAAATAAATATATTAAAAATCTACTAACAAAATAAAAAAATCTCTTAGAAAGACAAACGGAAATATATATTTTCCAAACTTAATCAGGTATACAGTTACACAAAAATGACCTTTATAATACTTTCAAATCCTTAAACTTTCTCACATCCTCCAACGACAAAAAAAATTAATAGTTTAATAATTGGTCGTCTCACGATTAACAATCCAGAAGATCAAATAAATATATTTATTGATCATTATAGGAACATTTTTAATTGTAAAATATCCCTCATTAAATCATTAAATTCTCAACAATTCACATGCTCCTTTTCCCTTAAAACATGATGCTATTCTAAAAGATTTAAACAAACTCAATCACAAATCCATGTCAGACAGTCTTTAAAAAAATTCCCAATTATAACTTCAAAAATTTTATTTTCAGTTTTAAACAAGATATGGTTATGAGCTAACGTACCTCCTGAAATCTGCAAATCAACCATCATTAATTTACCTAAAATCCCTTTCCTTAAATCACCAAACGATTATAGAGCTATAACTCTTTAATCATCAATTTATAAAATTCTAACCAACTTATTATTTAACTTAATAATAAAAGACATTGATAATAACACTAATGATAACATTTCATCCTTCTGTAAAGGAAGAAATGCAATTGAACTAATTACAGCTTTAAAAATTAGACTTGAAAATGCTACTTCGTAAAATAAATTTATATATAATAATTATAGATAATTCAAAAGCCTTCGACTCATAATGTCGTCATTCGATCTGTACAATAGATTAAACTCACCTTTGCCTTATCACCCTTCATTTTCAATCTACTAATTAGTGACATCATAAATACCAGTAACCTACAAAATGTAGAATGGCTGCTACGCAGACGAAATGTATCCTTACTGAAGATGTCACTAACATTCATAATATTTTAACAACAGTCTCAAATAACATGGAAAAAATGAACCTGAAAATAAATTTAAAAAAAACTAAAATCTATAACAAAAAAAATATATTATTCCTTCAACAAGCTATCGTATTCAAATATTATTTCAAAAAAATTCAAAATCCACATATTCAAAATCTACATAATGTCATCTATGTCTTATGGTATAGAAACTTGGGAAAATAATAAATTTAACCTTAATAAATCTCAAATCTTTATTAATAAATCTGTTAGAAATATCAAATATCCTAAAATAAATCTCTGGAAATCTTGTCACATACTTCCACTTAAAAAATTATTAAATTTTAGAAAAATAGAATAGCTTTACTTTAAGACACAATCAAATAAGCATTCACAAAAGCTTTAAGATATAAAGCCAAAAACAATAAAAAAGAATACTCTAACCATATCAAATCCTGGTACGGTCAAGCATTGCAAATTCTAATTAAAAATATAGTTAATAGTCTTTTTTATTTATATTTCTCAAGATAAACTACAATTAAAAGAACGGATATACTAGGCACTTTTAATATAAATAATATTTAAAAAAAATATTAATATAGGTAATACTTCTTAATTTATAATTATTTTCTATAAGAGGTAACGTCAGTCCTCTTAAATAAAACGGCCCTGACAGTATGGTAAATTACCGTCAATCAGAAGATCCTGGTTTATCCACAAGAAGTATCACCATCCTTCTTTAATTAAATGGGTCCTGAATGGTAAATTAATGCCAATCAGTGGATTCAAATTCATTGCACTGGAGACCCTCTGCTGGATGGTGAAATCGTGGATGAAACTTATTAGAACACTAAATTGATTATAATGATCTGACATATATATTTTTGAAATCTTGGTTTGTTTGATGATAATGACTCACCTAAATATTTTATTATGTAAATATACCAAGTTACAGTATGATAGTGATAACGATCAGTGGCCCCTACACTTTGAGCTTTAGGAAGCAGAATACCCCCATGAAAAGTGCCCCCTTGAAAAGTATCCCCCCCCCTTCCAAAAAATGATAATTATGACACACATAAATTTCATAAATATTTTTTATTGCATCAATTTTTAATATATAATATAAATAAAATGCAAAAAATATTATAAATATTATTTTTAAATAAATAATTTAGATAAATTAGATAGAGAGAAAGCGAAAGAAATTATAATTTCATCAGAATTTAATTGTTTAAATAATTTTTTTTCCATTGATAATATGGTTAAATTATTGAGAAAAGAATCTTTCATGGTACTGCGCAGTCTTGTTTTAATTAATTTAATTTTACTGATGACTCTTTCGGCAGTACATGAGGTTGTGGGAATGGTTAATAAATATTTATATAAAATTCTTAAATTAGGGAAAGCAGAAAAATTTAAAAGTAAACGATAAGAAATAAATGAATAGTTTTCCAATGTGAATTATCATCATTATCAGAAGAAGCTAAATAGTGTATTGGTAAAAATATTTAAATTAAAAGAATCTGACAAATCTTTAGATTCTTGAACCTCTAGGTCATGAGTAATAATTACATTGCCCATTTTGGCCATCTTATAAATATTTCTAAACTTCAACATTTCTTCGAAAATTTGACTTGAATTTAAATTGTTAAATTCACAGATATCCTCGATATTTTAATAATTAATTTTTCTGCCATATCAGATACTATATTTTCTTCTAACACATTTTCTTTATTATTAGGACACTTTTAAAAGATAATTATATTAATTAAAAATATTTATTATACCAACAGCTTTGAATTCCCAATTTTTACTTCTTTCTTCTTAAATTGCGATTTAATACCCTTTATAATAAGAGAGGTATAAACAATATATTTAATAAAAAAATTACTTTGCTATTTGTCCAATTTTGAGTAACATTCTTAAAAGCTACTATTTCAAAGCTTTTCTTTATATCGTTAATATTAAGCCCACCATGTCTTTTTCTAATGTGATCTATCCATTTATCATCTCTTATATTATGCGATTTGCAATTTTTTATTAGGCATATTTTTTTTGGTTAATATTTTTAGGCATACTTTAAAATTGGAAAAATAATTTATGACAAGAAATCTTGGATAACAAATTTACTAAACATCGACCAATATTTCCGTCAATATATTAAATTAAATATTAAGTGGGGCAGGGGGATCTTATAAACCAGAAATCACATGATCATGATGGATGTAAAAGAAAAAATTTTTTTAAAAAAGGTACCCCCACTCAAATTTACTGAAGCAGTTGCTTCGGCCCTCCCCTGTTGTAGGGGCCCCTGATAACGATAAGTATTGAAAAAAAATGAAGATAATTACATTAAAAAGAAATGGCATCAAGCTTCTTGTGAAATGGAATTAGAAAAATTTTTTTTTACCCTATTCCAGTTACAGCAAGTTTACTTAGGTTAGGCAATCGCTAGTCATTATTAAAGCTTTTTTGAATTCTTGCCTATTTGTTGTGTTTAAGTCCTGCCACCCACTAAGACATTTGTTTGCCATATCAACTTTTTAAAAATTATGGTTTTATCAGCAATTCTATGTCGGGTTCTTTTGTACTTGGAATAAATATATAATTAAAAGTCTTTCTTCTAGAAGAATAGTTTTATTTTTTCTAGTTAAATTTAATTACCTTCTATAAATTAAAAAATTAAGTACTAATTGAAGCAAGAAAATGTGATTAATTATTAAATTGCTTAAAATGAGTACTTCTTATTTTTACAGCACTAATATACCTAAAGTGATAAGGAAGGATTTTTTTCTCTTATTATGTTATAACCAGGGGTATGTACCCTAACCCAGAACCCTTCGAACCCAAAATATTTTACTGAACCCAACCTCGAACCCATTTTTTTAAATTTAGGGTTCAGTGTTCAATAACTTTTAATATTAAATTTTTATATATTCAAAAAATAACTAAATAACACTATATTAAAATTAAATATAAATTAACATGCAAATTATTTAATATATTTTATGGTGAAAATTATTTTGCGTTGGAATTTTTTTTATAATATTTTAGAGTACTTCATTAAAATATTTATTTTTGTTTGATGGATTATTAAATTTGAAATAGGACCAAAGAAATGAACATAATCACTAGGTAAAATAACTTTATTAATTGCAAGTTTCGATGAACTGTCAAAGATAATCATAAAAAATCGATATTTTAATTTTAACATCTTGATGTTGAAAGTTCTCATGATAATTCGCTTATATTCTAATTATAATGATAAATTATATTTATGACAAGGCGTTAATATACTAAAATGAAAAACTGATGTTTCTGTTATTTTTACTAAATTTATGAGTCTTAATTTTTCTGGGCCACGAACCTGAACCTGTTAAATAGATATTTCACTGAAACCCAAACCTGAACCACTTTTTTAGTAAGAGGGTTCCCAGCCATGGGTGAACCATATAGAATGGTATATCTTGGTCAACAAGGTTTGATAACCAGCATATTAGTATAATTCACATCTGCCTATTTATGGGAAATTAAATTATTATTTTAAATTATGTTCAAATGTATAATAAATAATAAAATAAAATTTTTTGGTGTATATACAGAAGATGCCAACATGGACGTTGATACCCAAGCCGAAACGAACGAGGAAAAGAAATTGAATAGTACCCCGCATGGGTTGCCGCTTGACCCAGAGCCTTGCAATGGTCTACCACAGGACCTTGCATTCCAAATTTTGAAGTGAATCATGGATTGATAAATATGCGACAATAGAAAGAGGAAATAAAAAATGGAATGTTGAGGAAAGAAAGGGAAAGAACCCTCCCCCCCCCAATATAATTGATATTTTACTTCTTTAAAACAAAAAAAATCTGTTTAAAAAATATAAAGGTTATGCGTGGAAGTTATGCAGACGCGTGCTTCTTTTATATGTCCCGAAGTATTGGAATGTCTTTTGATGCTCTGCGTCAGATTCACTCGCGATACCCCCTCTTGCCTATACTTTATGGACATAAACGGACCTGTTGTAACACTCAAGGCTGTTTCTTACCTACTCAACCAAAAAGGTTCTTATACACTTTCTCTTTATCAAAAAAGATTCGATTTTTTTTGTCATTTATCCTTATTTTTTTTAGGATGATGCGATGTCATTTATATTTATATACGATTATATTATCAAAAAAATGTGCTTTATCATAGAAACTAAATGGGACCCCAACAAATACAGGAAAAAATCCATGGTTCTCCTTTACAAAGATATCAGAAAACTGGTCAATTTTCTCTTCAGGCATCTATTTGAGGATGAGACCAATTTGAAATTAGTCATGGACAAAGTAACACAATCTTTACACTTTATTTACTCCCCTATAATTTATCAATATATATTTTTTTGCGATGTACTCATTTTTCGAAATCGATTGACTCTAAATATAGTAATATATTATATTATTTTTAAAATGATAAAAACATTTCCCCTTTCCTTTACTTTCCTAGGTGGTTCAAAACGTTTACCAGTCCAGCCCTGCCCCTCGCCATGCCACTGATGTATCCAATATCAAAACTCAATCCACCACTAGGGATTTCAATTGCTTGATCAGAATTCTGGTCCCTGCTTTGTGGAGAAATCATAAGGTGTTCTATCACTCCATGGTGAATAGCATGGAGTTCGTGCCTCAAGCTTTTAATAAAAATGGTTTTTTCTTCTTTAGATATTTTTGCGTGTTCGTTTACACGCGACGTATAAATTACTATAATATTGTAAGATAAATAATTTGGTTGTGATGAGTTTTTTTAGCCACAAACGAAGGGATGGGAATTACAGATTCGTGATTGATTTGAATAGAGATCGTATGCGAATTAAAAATAAATTAAAAGTTTGATAGAAATAGTCTTAAAAAACTATATAGGAAGTGTTGAAAAGGTGGACCCTCAGACAAGATTAATTAATTGTAATAAAAAAAATTATATCAAATCTATGCAAAACTAATTCTTCCTCTTCCTCCTCTCGAATAATGGCTTTTAGACTTTCCGGAAATCAGCCACAAGTCATCTTTGTTCGTAAAACTCTTGCCTCCTTCTTATCCACCGGCTTTGCAGTTGCCTAGTGACGACAAGGAAAAATTGCACGATGCTGCAGCCACGCAAGCCATTAATGAGCGTACCACGGCTATACTTTTCTACCTTATTCATAAACTCAAGATCAACCATCAATTCCATCATTTGAACGACGAGACAATAGAGGGAGGGGCATTCGTTAAAGGTTTGTTTTGATCCTGAAATTAACCGGGTTGGTTCCATGACAAAATATCAAAAGAACCAGACCTTGGCTCTTTTTTTTTACTATAAACATCTTTATATTCATGAGCGAGTTAATACATTATACCTCTAATTAATAATTCTCCCCTTTAAGACGCGTACACCTATTACAAATCTCAGAGCAATATCTTGATATTGCTAACGGAACTTAGCCTAGCCTATCCTCACGTTTCTTCATATTTAATAGAGCATTGTTACGAGACATCGCCTCCTCACATGAGCATGCCTTTCCCTAAAGATGTATATTATGTTAATTTATTATTTATATGAACAACTTTAAATAATATTAGATGGATAAGTTTGAAAGGAAAGACCACGGTATGTAAGAAAGAAAAAAAAAGAAGAAATAAAATGTTATAAGAAATTTTTTTTAACAAACTCAATTTTAATTTATATAAAAAATTTTTTTTATCATTTTAATGCAATTTTGAAAAGTGGAGAGACGATTTATCCGGCCATTCCTTCATCTCTTTCCTCCTCCAGCACCTACTTCCACTAGATTACTATCATTACACGGCCCGCCTACTAAAATCGCGCACGAATCTTGACGCACGAAACGCCGACAAATGTCGAGAATTGCGAGCTAGCAAGTCATCCGCCTCTGAGCTATACGGGTATCTTAGAGTACTACTCCTTAGTCTAACGGTAAGCGGCTTTTCCAGAAACTTTCAGACGCCCAAAGGGAAAGAAACCAGGGAAAGCCTCGTATACGAATACCAAAGTGCCATTTCGGCTACTAATAATATTCAAGTGATTTTCGCATTTATATTCTCTTTTTGAACAAAAATTGGTATATTTGATAATATGACATGGGTAATGCCGGAACATACAAACATTAATAAATGGTTATTATTATGAGATAATCACATTATTATTATGGTTCTGCTGAGATCTTTTTAAACTTGAGGATGCATATAACTAATATTGTTAAATAGCTCAATGTAGCCAATTTTAAATTGAGATTTTAGCCAAAATAATTTTAACAAGTCTCGAGATTTCGTTAATAGATGTCCAAACTTTTCTGCTCTCTTATGAGCAAAATCTACCAGACTTGCATAATATATTTTGACTAAAATATTAGATGAGACGTTTTTTTAAAATTGGGCCGTATAACAACACCACATTACATGCAATAATAAAAATAATTTCAAAGTAGAAAATGATGAGTTAATCCTTCATATTACAATTTGAGCGAGGTAAAGAAAGAAAAAAAAAATCTATTATTAAAATTAATATTTCATAAGATAAAAAAATAATTGTGAAAAATGTATAAATTGAACCAATAATATTTAAAAATTCACCAAAAAATTTTTGAAATAGATCATATTGCCCCCCCCCCCACCCTTCCGCATCTTTAAAATTATTGTCATCATAATTTTACAAAAAAAAATACATATTTAAAATTAAATCTTTTTTAGGTTCTGATAAAAAGAATTATAAATGTGAGACAGATTTTATTTTATAAAAAAATTTAATCTTATAATTAAAATATTATTTAAAGTAGTTTTCAGATACTTTCGTCTTAGCCACCATAAAACTTAGGAACTTAAGTATCTCATTTATTATAAATATACCCGGTTCAGTTGATCAAATTCTTTAAGGTTTCGATCACTGATTTTTTTTAATGAATTTTCATCATATGACGAATTTACATAATAACGCATTCCAGAATTTTGTATAAAAAATGAATATATATATCTTTAAATGTTCAATAAAAAGCCGCCATCTTATAAACAACACCACCACTCCACTGGCCTCTTTTCCCCTAACGCCAGTAATTATACCTTGAACGAGCATTCCACGATCGATGCTAAGATAAGCCGCGACCTGATCTCTATCCTTGTCGAATCCTTCTCACTTGTCACCAAATTTACTGCCGGCTCACCGAATAGCCTCTATATTGGTGGCATTATGAACCTTAATGGTTCTAACTACCATCACCAGAAACTCTGTGCCCTGCTGTCCCAATTAAATACCAACGATAGTTCTAACCAAATTACCAACCCTAACACGCCTTCTTCATCTTCTCTTCAGCCTCACGGTAGCCTCGTTAAATCGGCTTTCAAGCATGGATTGCTTAAACAATTAGCTATGGTGCCACGAAGGGTCAGAATGGAAGATCCAGAGTTTCCCGCTATAGGTTTAGAATTTTTTTGACTTACGCTTTTATATCGTCGCTTAAGTACCAGCGGGTGGCTACTCAATATTTATTATTTAATAAAATATTTGAATCTAAATAAAATAAAATTGAAATTATAAATGTGTGAGCTTAATAAACACGAAATAAAGATTATTATTAATTTAATTTAATATTTCTTATTTAGACTAAGATAGTTTAAAGGGAGAAAACGTGTGAAGGAAGGATTACTGAACATAGATGATGGTAATAAAAAGAAGTGATGAAATATCCAGAATTAAGATAAAGCAAAATTATATAGATAGAATAGATATCCTACATTTCTATATGAACAATTAATGATTACAAATAAAGCACCCCCCCCCCCTAATTAGAGATATTTTCATTTAGTCATATTTCTATTTTCTATCATTAAAACCCACTGTAACAACGTTCTTCGACAGTTAATTCCACCCTTTTGACCATGGAAACTTTCATTCGCTTAGTCAACGCTATGCCCCTCAATCAGCCCCAGAAGCCGATGGTTCATACCGCCGGTACCCAGGCTAAATTGCCTGCTCCTAACGCCTCAACCAATACCGGTATAATATATTTGTATCTTTTAAATTTCCCAGAAATTAAGTGTTATGCAAAGGAATAACTTAATCATAATTTTAAAAAAAGCTGTATATCGTTTGTTGAGTATAATACTGTTCTATATCCACCTTTTTCGCAAAATTCTAACATTCTTAGGTATAGAAGATTTATGACCGAATCGTATAAAATGAGGTTTTTTTGATTGGTTAATAAATAATTTTTGGGATAAAAATTTCTAATATCTGGGAACATTTTTTTTTTTGAATTTTGTAAAAGAATCATTGATAATTATTATCCTCTTATTTTTATTATATCTTAAATATTTGATTTGATGAAAAACGTATTATGTGATATATAGAATAATAAATTATATTTAATATTTGAGACACTCATCTAATTTGCGGATATATCTCGGTAAAATTTTTATTTATTTAAATGTTTTATGTATTCTGCCATTAAACCAAAAAAAACTTTAAATTACCTTTGACCATTTTGTCGGTATATCCTCTTTCAACATAATAAATTAGTTCCCCAACAAAAAAATATTTCTCGATAATTAAGTGTTTATGTCATAATAATTCAATAATTCTGAGCAATTTTATTATCCGAACCCTTTAGTGCCAATTTCCAGTTTATTAGTATTTCTGTGTTTTAAGCATTTTTAGAGTTTCAGTTAAAATTCTTAGCTATCAAAAATAGGAGCTATAAAAAAGTATTTCGAAAATAAAAATGTTGATTAAAAGTTTTACATGGATAACATTATATAACACGTTAACTTTTAGATAGACCACCTCGAAGCACAACAAATTCTGATGCAGCGGGAATGGGAACGAATGATGTTAGTAATTTATATTGAAATTTTAAATTTTTTTATTTAATATCTGTAATATGTATGAGTTATTTATCATTTATAAAATCTACCAAAAAACGAATATAAATTATTTTAAGTTAATAAATTAATTATCTGAAATTCATAGGGTAAGTAATTTAGACTGAAATACATTTCCGGTTTAAATTTTTAAAATTTTAAAAACGCGCTTAAAAAATGATTTAAGTTTGCAAAATTAACATATTAACGAAAAAAACACATTGAAGCTAACATATATAAAAATAATTTTGGTTATCTGGTAACGTTGGCAGGATAGTCGTATAAAGATGAATGTCCCCGACAAAAAAAAACGCCCTGGACAGAAATATTTCATTTTTAACAATATATGAAATACCCTTGGAAAAAGAATTTAAAATTTATTTTATCTTTGAAACAAATAAATAAATTGATGTTTTATTAGGTTGTATTTTAATTGGGGTATGTTGGACATTCCGCAGGCTTGGCAGTTATCAACACGAAATATTAATTAAATCACGATTGAATATAATTCATACTACATAATTATTTTTTTTGAAATCCATTTTAACCAACAGGGTGGAAATATTGATGCCTTCTCAGGACTCCCTCTGCCTCCACCGCAAACTGATTCTCACGGTAAAAATATGAATGAATTTTCCTTTATTATTAATGCAGTGCAGGTTTTGAGTTTTTATAATAAAATTATGGGTCACTCACACTACAGTTGGGTAATGGCTAAGTGCGACGAATTCGGCTCTAGAGGCGAGTGCCGTAGAAAATCCTTCATTATTGAGGATTTATATTAGTTTCTTTCAAATTTGATCCTCTATATTTTTAAGAACCCATCTAGGCCATAGTGATAGTTTTCAGTTAAAAACTAGGCTTAACCAATTTTTTGGTCTGCTAGAATTTGAATTGAACGGCCTATAAATATAGTAATTACCTAGCTATAGTCACTACTTACTATCAGTGAATAAAAAATGGAGTTTTTTTAAAAAAAAAACTAAGTTAGCTGGCTTGGACAAATTTAACCACACTTACTTTTTAATCCATTTTTTTTATTGAGCTAGGCTGATTACTATAATTTTTTGCTCATATTACCAGTTAATATTTTACATTTTAGTATATTTTAGAATATTATATACCTGTAGTTAATAATCAACATATAATTTTGATTTTGATATCGAATTTTCAAACTAATATTCTTGGGTTGTGTCAATGGCTAAATTAATTCTTACTAGATGATGCTAACCGTCCACCAAGAAATACGAGTACCAACAACGGTAGAACCCCAAGAAGATCCAGGAGGCCTCGTTCCCGAGATCACCACGATCCTACTGGCCCCAACAGTAGTGAATACATTTCTCAAAGAAACATTAGGCTTAGATCATCAACTAATAACGGTGCCGACGTGCCACTCGAGAACGACTCTGTCATGATTTTTGAAAATCAAGGGTTGCGGGGTAAAATATCGAATTCTTACATTGCCTAGTCCAACTGCCATCTTTTTAATTTTTCCTTATCACTTTCAATTTTCTTTCATCGACTATTGAGTAGAAAGCAAAAAAATTTTTTAGCCAAATCACGCTTTAAATTTTATTAAGCATTGGAGGTGATTATTGCACATTTAAAATAATAAATAAATATTCATAAGTTATTGAAATACCTCCCGTCCTATTATTTTTTGAACATCAATAATGTTAAATAAGAGCCTCTTTCGAACACGAATCGAAAATTTTATAATAAAAAAAAATATTGAAGGTAAATGTAAAAGTTTTATCTATTCTACTCATTTTATTCATTGGTAATTTTATTTTTGAATTAATAATTTAATGATATATTCGATATGTTTTGGTTGGTTTAGGCTTAATAAAACATAATAAATGTTATCCAATATTATTTTGGAAATTTTTAAATATGGTTTTCGCTACCAGTGAGTTATTTATTGATTAAAGCTATTCTTTAAATTCATGTATTGAGGCCTCTTATTTAAAAAATATTATATTGTATTTATTCGCAAACACTTTAAGGAGACAATGACCTGCTCCCTGCCCAGGCACCTGAATTAGAGGAGATCATAGTGGATATTTCGCGACAACCAGGACCCAACATATCTATAAGGCAAGACGAAGAAATGGAGAATTATCGGGCTGAAAGAGACAATATGCGAGAGATGCTAGATCAGGAGGATATAGGCCATGAGGAACAACAGGAAGGTTTGTCCTTAGCTAAATAAGGAATAGGCAGGAGAGGAAGTGGTAAAAAGATGAAGGGAATGTTTGGATTAGAGGGCTGCCAAGTCCGACCCGCTTAGGCTCATTAATAATTTTTGCGTAAGTTTGACCTGCGTAAATTTTTTTCGAAAAGTATCCCCCTGCCCCGTGAAATTTTTTGTACGACTTTTCCTCCCATCTTTTTTTAATATATATGTCTAATTTTTCCCAATGTTAATTAAGATGTCTCTCTATGGCTATCTATTTCTGCAATAGTTTTATAATCAATTCTGTTTTATATCTGTATTGTGCATTTGTAATTGGGTCTTAAATGTGAATTTTTTTACGAATTTACTATATTATTTAGATATGTAGAATAATCACACTTAATAATAATCGAAAATACAAAGAAATAAGCATCTAATTTATTTTCAAATACTCGGGCTGGGTTTTCGAACGGGCCGAACTTTGCAGATCCTTAATTTGGATTAGAAAAGGCATATTATTTTTTATTTTTCTTGCCATTTTATGTCTTTCTAGACTACTATCGTGTTTAAATAAGTAAGTTATATTGTATGCATAGATACACGATTAATGATTTAGGCTTGACTTGATCCAGTGCTACTTTCTATAAGAGATGTCAAACAATATTTGACATGAGAGAGGTATAAATCTTTATGAGATTACTAAGATTAGATTAATATACTATTTACCTGTTTTTACATGCTACTTAGTTTTTATCGACGTTTACCTCCTATCTTATATTTATTTTTTCTTCAAGGAATTCATCGAACCCATGGTACAGAGGAACACAATTTGACTGGAAACACAAATGAAGATGACGAATTAGACGAAGAGGAGGATGAAGAGGTTGATGAATTAGATGAAGAAGAGGAAGAGGAGGAGGATGATGAAGAAGACGAGGATGAGGAGGATGACATGGAAGAACAAGAAATGGAAGAGGAAGATGGGTCAGACCCAGATAATGAAACCGAACCTGAACAAGATTTTATCGCTTCGGATACCGGCCTGGTTTCAGCTCCTTATTGGCGTCCTTCCACTGGATCAGGTAGCAACGGTGCCCGAAGGGGGGACCTTGGTGGCCTCCGCCATTCTAGGAGGACGGGAATGAATATTAGTTCCTTCGGGAGGGCAAGGCGCGAGGCGTTTCGTGTGACTGGCAGAAGAGGCAGAAACCGGCGAACGGCCACAAGGAGAAATAACACTGGAAATGGGGGTGAGAGTTTCGTTTTTTATTTGATCGATTAGTTGATTTATTATAGAATTTTGATTCCTTTTGTTTTACATTTACTATAATGAAGATATTTATATAAAACAGTCGAAAGGAACGAAGAGGAAGAAAACGAAGCCTATTACGATTTGGATTACTTGTTGACCCGAGCACGCGATGGAGCAGAGAGAAGCGTAAATATTTACCTGCGTTTTTTAACCATTTCTTATAAAAAAGAATTAGTAATTTTTGCATAAAATGATTTTAAAAATTCCTAACAAGATAGTGCTATATATATTTATTAAAAAAATAAGCAATAAAATGATAGATTTTGTTTTCCATAAGAATTGTGATATTAAAAACAGAATAAAAAAATAATGTTTGTTTTTTTCACGAAAAAACAGTTTTTTTTAATCCCTACTATTTGCACAGATTAAGAATAGTTGATTGCACTATCATATTGTTGCTGAAAAGCCAGATTTGGCTCGTGTATAAAAAAATGGCCCGATTAAGATTTTGGGCAAAATAATATTACGTAAGCCTCAAGATTTGCCAAATAGAGAGGTCCAAGCTTTTCTGCTATGTATAACAAAATCCTCAGGCTTACAAAATATGATTTTGGCTATAATCTTATGCGGGCCATTTTTAAAATTCGGCTCAAATCAGGTTACAGTATTGTCTTGTTGATTTTATCCCTTTTTTAAAAAAATAAGGATAATTTGTCGAATATGATGGATTTGAACTTGCTTCAATCATTACTTGATGCCGATTTTGATCTCACATTTTTCCCTAATAGCAGAGCTGAATCTTCATCCATTACAGGTAGACTTCAAATTTAATTTTTAAAAAAAATCATATATTAAACCAATTCATTTTTTTTCTTACAAATCTAAAGGCTTCCTCGGTCCTTTTAACACGACTAACTTCCTTAATCTAACCGCCCAAACCAGCGCTTCTCAACAGCATCAGCCCCAAGGCTCTAGCATAAGCCATGCTAACAATTCGAGTATCACTAGAACAGTTTCACCCGCTACATTAAATCCCGTTAACACGTCGATTCTAACCGATGACTACGTTTTGCCACCCGGGGCCACTCAGAGTAACAGGGAGGCAATGACTCGTTTATTGCGCGGCTTGGAAAACGTGGGTAACCAACGAGGAATGGCCCAAAGTAAAAAAAAATTGAACAAATTCGAGATAAATCAGAATACTTAATAATATTGGTTACCTTGTCTTGTTATGTTACATCTCCGGTTTGATAATTTTATTTTTTGACATATTAACCAAAACCGGTAGTTAATACTTAAAAATGTTGAGTACCTTAATAAATTTAAATATTTGTTTTTACTAAACATTATGAAGAAGACTGCAGGCTTGGAATGGGCCGAAAAATGATATGACTTTAAAAATCTAGAACGGTCTTGAAAATTTTTTAAAAAATTAAAAATTCGAACTTTCGTTATTTTGTGATCAAGTGAAAAAATGTTGGAATATCTTATAAATGGAGCGTTTCATATTCATATTTTTCAATATCCCTTTGAAACATAAAATGCAGCTAAAAATTTAAAATGGCCAAATTTTCTAAATTTCGGACCAGTCCTGTAAAATTATCAATAATAAAAAATGTGCTGGGTCAAAAAAATATCCCGGACCTGTCTTGAAAATAAATTTTTTTTTTTGAATTCGTGTCGTACCTAAAATTTTGATCTCTGCTGATTTGTGACATTTTACTATGTATAAAAATACAAGTATGACACATTCTTATTTTTGGTGTCGACTAACAAGGTAATATTGGTTTGGTACACCTCTGAAAATGGTTCTAAATTATTGGCCATTTTTTACGAGGTAAATAAAATTATTATCAAATTGTGTTACTTTTTCTAATACCTAAAAATTTGCTAAACATGCATAATTATATTTAACACTTTTGAAAACTAAAATCCTCTCACAAAAAAATCTATTAATTTATTGTAACCATAAGTACGTATTTACTAATAAACAACATTTTCGGAGGAGAAAGATTGATACACCTTTTACCATGTATATATATATAATTGGTGACCCCCTTCAAAAATAAAAAAAATAGTTAACTTTTTTCATTAAAATAAATTAAAGCTGTTAACAACAACCAACACCGTCAAGTTTCTGCCATTACGAATACCACAAATATGACCCCCAGAGGTAGACGACACTCGACTCCTCCACCCCATTTCCACCCTCCACCATTTATCTTCCGCTCCACCCATCGATCTGCTAACGCCCTAGACCTAGATCAAGAATCTGACCCAGGAGAACTAGAAAATGAGGATGCCTATTATGAGGAGTATTATCCCGAAAATGTTCCCTCCGGAAATAATGAAAGAAATCTAGGTTATTACGAGCAATTTCTTCCTAGGAGTTCTCAGCATGCTGCCGCTAATAATAATAATGTTTTCCAAGCCCGAACCGGAGCTTTAAGGATATCTTTCGCTTTGGCTCCTCCTTCCAACATTACGCGATCTTTCAACACCCCAAGGAGGCCAGAGGAAGAGTACACCGATCGGGGATTTGACGACGACGAATTCGAAATGGAAAGGCAAGAGGAGGAGGTTGAAGATGAAGAAGATAACGAAGAGGGGGACGACAACTGGCTTAATGATTTTGACAGGATTGGTTCTTCCAGGAGCTTTGTGATAGGCTTAACCGGGAACAGGCGTTCGAGAAGGCCTAGGAGTGGAGACAGAAGAAGGACAGGTGTCACTCACTTTGGAACCCTTAGATCGGGCAGGGTCGATCAAACGGGCCGTGGACATACATGCGGTCATTTCGGGAGACAAGCCCAGTCGGGGGAAGGCGGCGCCAGGACTTGGTTAGCAGCATGTGAGGCTGCTTGCATAGGGGGTTCATTGCCTGTTAGGGTGGCCTCGATTAAAAGGTTTATTTTTTAACCGATTTTATCTTGTAAACAGAACCAGATCATTATTTTACCCTCAAATTGAACTATACCATTTGAAATGGGATTATTCAGAACTAAGTACCAAATCCATAAAATTTAATTTTAACAAAATTTTTCATTCAATATTTATCATAAAGCACTTTAATTTTTATTTATCGGTGAAACTTCCCAAACTACTGGTTTCTTTTGATCAATATACCATACATTTTAATAAACATTTTAAATAACACGATTTTAGGAGGAAGGTTCCGATCTAAAAGGGACCAAGATAAAGAAATAGTCACATTTTGAACTTTCTCTTTTAATATAATAATTATATAAATATATTTTTCTATATATTTTTAAAGGTTGTTTTCGCTATTCCAAACTACGCGTTCTCAAGATGTAAATTACTTATTAATCATTTATACAATATTTTGTTATTTAATACTTTGTAAATAATATCCATATATTATTTTTTTTTAAATTATAAACATTGTTTTAAAAAATCCACTATTAATATTATTTAGGTTAACATCTATTTCACTTAAAAAGATGCTATCCCACCAAAAAAAAATATTCACGAAGATTTTAGAATGAAATTTAATTTTCGATGTTTTATTATTACAGTTAGACTGTCATTCACGCTTGATACCCAATTTTCTTTCTCTTATAAATCTTTTCTTTAAATAATATTTTTAGTCGAAAGAACCCGTAAAAGACAATATTATAACAAATTTGCAAGACATTATGCCGGCTGCACCTCTTCTACCTTCCACCACGCTTCGCCGATGGTCGGAAGAAATTCTTATGCTGGAAGGTCCTTACGTGCAAAACATTGTATCCTGTGAGTTCCCTATTTACTTTAAGTCATATTCATATAATATAGTACAAGTTACAACTATTACTAACGTAAACTGGCTCACATATTAGCCACTAATTTTATTTTTTAAATATATTTTTTTTAAACCTTGTCTCTTTTTTTTAAAAGTCCACATAACTAAAATCAACTAATTTTCAAACTAATGAATTTTAGCTTAATAAATATATTTACCATATGAATGTATTGTTAATTGTTATTCCATTTTCAATCATGAAGATTTTTAAAAAAAATACACAAACAAAGATTACAAGGGGTGCCTGTACGAAACACTCAAGATTTCTTACGACAAACGTCGACGAGCACATCTCGCGGAAATGATAGCAGCCAATAACAGACGCGAACAAGAAGAAAAAGAGAAAGAAAAGAAAGAGAAGGAGAAGAAGGAAAGAGAGAGTAGAGAGAAATTGGAAGCTTTGGAGAAGGAAGCGGGGTCCAAGGTATCTAATCTAGATACTACTTCTTTGGGTGATGCCTCTAGTAGTTCTAAACTCAAAATCAGTACTGGTACATTGGCTAGCAAAGATGACGGTAATTCTTTTTTTTTTAAATTTTATTAAGATCTATCAATGCTATCTGTTAAGATTAAAAGTATCAGTCGCTACTTGTATCAATATCGATGCACTCTAATATTCATTATATATATTTGTAAAAATTGCGATTTAGCATTTATACTCCCCTCCCTTTATAAAACAAAACATCTGAATTAGAATAAAACATTTTATAATTTTTTGGTAAATATAAAAAAATTATTAAGTTGATTTTTTTTTAAAAAAAAAGATAGGGTTGTTTAAGTTTCATTTTTTAAAAGTCCGAAATGACTTATTTTAATTTCAATCATCTCTTCCCCTCGTAGACCATCATTTCAATAACTTTTAAATAATTTGAATAAGCTATTTTGCCCACCCCCACACTACCTCCTTCCGATTTTAAAAAATTTTCGTTACTATAACATTTTCTGTCATATTCACAGTTACTTAATAATTTACGCAAAATTATAGGAAGTGGGGACTCATCCTCCGACAGCGACGAATCAGCTGGCAGTGGGACTAAGGTTGGAGGTGATCCAAAGCTTAGCAAAATGGATACTGATAAGGTTCGAAAAAATGGACATTTCATCGTCTGAGAATTAGATTATTCCATCTCCACTCTTTGAAATTTTACAAATGAGTAATTTCAAAAATTATTTTCAATATAATCTTATATTGGCTCCATTTTTTTATTTTATAAATATTTATGATTTTTTTATATGTAAATTGAATAGCATAATAATTAAAAATTGATTTATGTAAAAAAAATTATTTTTGATAAAAAGTGGATATGGAATAACCTAATTTTCAGGCCATGATATATAATCTAGAAAATTGATACAGTGTTATAGTATGAACATTTACCTCTAAAATATCATTTTAAACTTAAGTATTATTTTAAATTAATAATTAAAATTGATTTATGTAAAAAAATATATTTTTGATAAAAAGTGGATATGGAATAACCTAATTCTCTGGCGATGATATATAATCTAAAAAATTTATACAGTGTTATAGTATGAACATTTTCCCTCTAATATCATTTTAAACTTAAGTATTATTTTAAATCGATAGTGTATAGTTTGTAACATAACAAGTATTATATTATATTAGTTATACTTATTATTCTTATTATATACCATTTTCTTCCATAGTTGACAGAAACCAGCGGAACAAGTTTACCATCAGAGGCAAGCACTAGTTCCAATATCCCGTCGACCTCTCAAAGTTTAATTTTTTTTAGCATTATGATTATATATTAATTAAATACTACCACCTATTTTTTTTACAAATTTTTAAATTTTTTTTTTTTTTAAAATTAGCCGTGCCTCAGCCATCGATTGTTCAAAGGTAACATTGTGAATTTATTTTTTTTGATAACTTATTTTAACAAAAAACAATTTTTTTTTGGTTTTAGACCATCATAGTAACTGTTGAGGTTTTAATAACATCAACATTATTATTATCGTATAAGTAGTTCATTTAATTATTAAGCCTATGGGTTTTATTTATTTTTTTTTTCAGTTTTTACCAGTAATAGATAATTGTTTATATTACATTAATATTAAATAGATAAATTTAATATTAAACAAATAAATTCGCATTTGATAAGATATAAAATAAATCAATTTGTTTATATTTTATACACCTTATTAATAGAATTTTTTTTCTATATATATAAATGTATATATGTTAGCGAAAATATGTTTGTATTCGGCAATGTGTTAATTTTTCAAATAAACCTATATTATGAATAGTAGACGATTTTGTCATTAACTTTTGAGTCATTTATAATTTATATAAAAAATCTATGAAAAAACTAATAAAAATTATGTTAAGCTCAAATGTTCATTGCAAAATTGTCTGAAATTCATAGGATAAGTATTTCTAAATCTAATTGAATATTCCGATAAAAATCCTTAAATTTGAAAAAAAAATGATTTAAAGTTGAAAAATTAACGCTGCCGCTAATATATAGTTATATATTTTACATGAAAAATAACAATTTTGTTCAAAAATTTTCAATGATTATAACCATTTTTGTTTTTTAATAACTTTTGATTTCACTTATAGGACCTAACAATAACCCTAAATGATAAATGTCCTGCTTATTTTTATGATAGTGATTTTTAAAAATAAATGGGTATTTTTTTTCGGGGGGGGGGGCGGGGAAAATTTGTAAAGCTTAGAATTATTAGTTTCTAAACACTTGCAAAATTTCTTTTAATGTTCTAAACGTGTTTTTTCATATCAATAACTTTTTTTTACATTTTTATTCCCCACTTATAAATCTATTACAGTTCTGACCAGAAGATCGAAAGTATGGAGGTCGTGGAAGAACCAGCCAACGTTCGCGATATCACCCCATCACACCCACCTTCAATTTTTCCTGAAGAACCGATTCCTTATCTTGATCAAAGTTTCTTTTTTTACATTCTACTAATGTTTTAACTGCAAAGAAAAATCCCCCCCCCCACCATATATTACTATTTAATTTATTGCTTTATATATTTTTTTTATAAATCCTAGATCGTTTGGACTCAGTTTCCACTGGGGGCAAAGAATACAAGATTATACTGGGAGGTAAAGAAAAAGGATAATAATAAAAATTAACTATAAATTATATGATATTTTACAGAAATATCTATTAATTTCGGGAATTTTGAAAAATGCCAAACTCACTAATAATTGGATATTAATTTCCACTAGAGATATTACTTTGGTAAAACAACCTCAAATAACATTTAGCCCTCATGTATAAAATAATTTTTAAATATTCTGGGAAAGTAGTGTTTTCTTTAGCTCTTTAATTTAGATACAGTCAAAAATCGCTAAGTTTTGAGGTGCTACATGGATTTATTTTTTCGATCTCTCAAGGTTGAATGGTCAACTTTTGGCTCATCATTTTTTTGGAATTGGCTCAAAATAGAGCAATTAACTATTAGAAGAAATAAAATATTTCCTTATATTCTAACTTTCTTTTTAGTGTTAGAAAGGAATCTTTATTTTAAAATTATTTCTTATCAATTAAATAATAAAATCAAATTTGATTTTTCGTAAATTGATGATTATCATTTTGCTTAAAAAAATTTTTTTATTACTCTATAGTGTGTAAACGTAAAAAAATGGATGATTGTTACAAATGATGGTCATAATTAATTTTAAAATATAAAACAAATTTTAAAAATACTATATTATTATTTCAATCAATTTGCAGACGGATTAGATCCTTCCTTCCTCGCCGCTCTGCCAGAAAATCTTCGGCAAGAGGTCATGTCAGAACAGATTCGACTCAAAAATATCGAAATTAACAACGATCGAACCTCGAATCCTAATTTGAGCGACAACTTCCAGCCCGTTAAAATAGAAGTGTGTCAAAGCTTCATGACAGCTCTTCCCGCCAATATACAACAAGAGGTTTAAGAATTATTATTTTTTATTATGAGAATAAAAATCAATAGAAAAGAATATAAACATTAGGAAAATGGATTTTAAAAAAAATTATGCTGAATATTTATTATTTAGAAATAAAAACAAATGTAAAGATACAATTATCACAGTTTGATATTTCACTACACGATATTTTTTACCCTCATTCCAGATCTTAACCCTCCAAACCCAAGAAAGTCAGAGGCAAACCTCCCTGGCCGCCAGACGCAGGGCTTCTCAAAGCATCGTTAACTCTACCACAACGAGTCCTAGCACAAATGGAGCAACAAGTCTTAATAACAATGGCGGATCTACCGCGGATACCGTTAATCCTCTTGGTTCGATAAATAGTAGCGATTTTGATCCTGCCCTTTTTATTCATAGTCTGCCTTTTCACTTAAGGCAACAAGTGCTGAGCGATTTGGACGATTCAGTGGTGGCCCTTTTACCAGAAGAATTGGCTAGGGAGGCCCGAAATCTGCAAAGGCACGTTCAGAGCAGGCACAGGAGGCTGCAACAATCCCTTTTTGGTAAAATTATTAAAATTTTGATCAGAATTAATTTAGTAGACAATTCTTATAATTATTAGGATTTCATTTATCTACACTACAATATTATTAAAGATATTTATGAGGAGATGAAAATGAATAAATTCAAACTCTAATGAATGTTGGAAATATCTACAAATATAGAATTCCTCTCTTTTCGAAGAAAGTAAAATGATTAATAGGGGGTGGGTGGCTCAATTTTTAGGTAAAGGTTTTCACGTCTCGATACTCGGTCTGAAGTGATCCAGTTCTGGCTTTCAAGTAATTTTTATTGCAACACCGGGTGGCTCCTTGATACATGTAGTGATTAAAGGCTGGAATAAACAAAGGTAAAAAAGAGAAAGAAAAAAAACTTCTAGATACACGAGGCAATTAATTTATCAAGGTTATACATATGCATTGATTTATTTGTATGTGATACCGTTATAACAAAATACTATCTACAAATATAATGCAAGGTGGCCAGTGGTATAGATTCTCCAATCCTCCAGCGACTGCCGCTAATCAAGCTAATTCAACAGAAAATGAGAGGTCTTTAACTAATAGCACTAATAATACCGGCAATGGCAATATCATGCTTTCCGATGGTGTGCATGCCCCTTCATCTTTGCACTTTCAACCGCCAATCTCCTCTAGGTTAATCATTTTTACATCTTTTCATATTGCGAAATGTTTATTATTTAACGTTTTAAATAATTTATAATTTATTTTTCTCGTTTTATAACGTTGAAAAAAAAACTGTTTTTCCCTCATATTTACATTTGAAAAGAAAAACAATTTTTTGACATTTTTATTTTCTTTAAAAAGAAATTTAATCTCTCATTTAAAAATTTTATTTTATTTGTTTTCGATCTTTAAGGCCCACTGGTTTGGGAATTACTTCTAAAGCCTTATTGGACACCGAACATCTGACTCAATTGATCGTTTTGGCTCTTTACAAACAATGCCATTTCGTAGAAAACAAGCCTTTCGCTTCCCCTCTCGATTCCGGTTTTAATGGTAATTATTTATTTTTAGCGAATACCTTTTACGTTAATTAACTCTATATTTAAGATTTTGGTAGCGGGACTGACCAGTCTGCTAAAAATAGCAAAAAAGTTTTGCACCAAACATCGGTCGTTATGGGAAAACGCATAGCTGAAGTTCTCAAAGAGGTATGCAGACACCCACTCACTTTCGCCTGGGTGATGGAAGCCGTGCTGAGCTTGATGGAGTGCCCTACGTTTAGCATCGGCAAAAGTATATGATTTAGAATTTAGAGGGCAATAGTTCAGATATATTATCTTAAATTAACATGTGTAAATCGGGATGGGGTTAGGAAACGAGATATATATATTTTTTTTTCTAAATGATTCGAAGAATGCGAACGTGCATAAAAAAAATTTAAAAAACAATCTAATAGGTTTTGGAAGTTCCGACACGAATGACATAGAAATAACTGTCGAAAACGATGAAACGGGCTCCATATCCGCTAACGAATGCCCATGTCCGGCTTCCCATAATCGCAAAGAGTATAATTTAATATGCTATTATAGATAATTTTAACCTAATATAGTAAATATTCTTTATATCTAAAAAAGAATCTCTTAAGAAATAGTATATCTGGTTATCAACTATTCTAGGGAACAGCATTTTTTATAACTCGAATTCACTCATTTCTATGTACAAACATCCTTTTTTAGCAATATCTTAGTATCCTATATTCCCATTTTAGGCCTTACCCTTTTCCTTGGCACCATCAATTCTATATTTTATATTTCTAGTTTCTAAAAAGATGTGTATTTAATTTTTAAAAAATCATTCATTCTCATTTTGTTATTATTTTTTCTCTCTTAACAACTGGAGTCGTTTGATTTTTCAGTCGGCAAAATTTAAAATTTTCGAATGATCGTTTCATAGAAAGAAGCATCTCAATTTTAGCCTAACTATTCCAGTTATTTTTTTAACTATTTTTATTAAGATTTTTTTTACATCGTTTCCTATCTTCCAATCTCTTTATTTTTAGCAAACACCACTCTAATTGTAAATGGCTGACTCTGGCACTCAAAACTGGACTGGGCTCCTGCGCTGGGGTTTTCAAAACTTACCACGTTGTTTTCGGGTATATGAAGTCTCCGCCATTTTTAGACATTATCCTTCCGGACAGAAGAGCTCGGAACGCCATCAGCCGGACATGTTTGGGCCTTTTGTCTCCACTATGTGCTCATACTCTTGGACTACAATTAGGCGGTCAAGTTAGGAGGATTCCTAATAAATTGGCAACAGGAGATGGAAAGAAAAAAGGTTAGTAATAAAAATATATTTATAAGCTGGATACATGTGCTTTTCATTATTTTATATTATATCTGCTTATTTTTTTTTCACCCATACTCTTTCATCAACATTTTGATAATATTAAACCTTTTCGCCCCAACAAATATATAATATTTACCCGTTTCTTTCCCACAAATATATGATACGCAGAATCGAAAGATATTATTTCTAAAGAAATCAACAAAGACATGAAAGATGGGACTGAAAGCAAGGAAACCAAAGAGCAACCTGCCAAAGGTATCACCTTTGTGAGCTGCGAACAGTTCTACACGATTATCGAATCTTCCAAAATTAAGGAAATTAGCCCAGGTGAAAATAGCCACAATCTCGCTAAAAATTCCAACTTTAACCCTAGCAGTAACGCGATGCCTCGAAATGCTAATATCGATCCCGTGGCCAATAATTATAGTTATAGTCAAATGAGCCCAAATTTTATACCCAGTGGGTTCGGTTCTGATGTGTGGGAAGCGCTTTATAGATTAGATACGGGTAAACCAGAAGATTCTTGCAAACTTTTGGCCGATAGAAGCTTGCCCAGGGCTAAATTGCCCTTTCCTTCCTCTTCCGACAAAAGTGTGCTGCAAAGTAAATCTAATAACCTAAATTATATAAAGTTTATTTTTTTTTAAAGATTATCTCCCTATAAATAACGAGAGAAAATATAAATGTATAAATAAAGTTCGTTAATTTATGTTTAGCTATAATGATGTAGCAATCAAAATTTATTAATTTTTTGCTAGTTTGTCTGTCATTGGTTATAGAAACCATTTTTTACATTACTTCCTTTTTATATACCATTTTAAGAAAACCTAATTTGAACGCATAGTTCATTACATTTTATTCCTCTATAATATATTTCGAATGAATAACTGCTACCTAATAATTTTCAACTCACAGAATTCGCTCTATTGTGGATTTTTAAATTTACAAAATTTTCCACTTATCTCTCTCCGCATGAAATATATGTTATAGTACATACGATACTGTTAATTATTCACAGCTCTTACAACCCACCTACCCTTCGTCACCGAATGGCTAGCCCTCAATACCATTTATCGCCTTTTCCAACTCGGATCGGCTCCCTTTACCTGTCAAAACAGCGGCGGGAGCGCATCAAAAACCATTATCTATAACTGGTTAAGACCGGACAAGGATACGGTTGACCAAACTATTCGCATAATAGGCTCTATCTGCGACACGTTGGCTAAAGTGTGCAAGGATCCCAACCTCGAGACAGCCTTAGCGCGGTTCAAAGTTATTACTCGGTCCGCTGACGCCTTTAACGCTGAAGATCTTGTAAAAGTCATTATGGCACGATCTGAGCTAGATAGGACTGTAGAAGTCGGACATTCTTATACAGGTTTCGTTTTTTTATTTCAGTCCAGGTTAGATGTAGTCGCCATATTTTATGGAGAATAAAATAGTAGGATATCTTTCTTTAGATTACAATAAATGAGTCAGTTATTTCGTCCAATTATATGGTTTTATTTATTGGGAGCTCAAAATCTTTAATAATTTTTATTATGAAATATATTACTTTCTTAAACTGTTTTATACAAATTGTACTGCCTAAAAAATTTTGCAAATAACTAGAACTATCTAAATGTATTTCTCTACATATGATTAGTGTGTTAAACCGCTCGATTTTTAAAAAAGGCTAACCGAATTTTTATGCCAAAAAATATCACCCTGGAGATTTGGCTCTTAGATGCATAGATGGCAGGAGGTTTGGACCCTCCTTAACGAAATCTCGAGGCTTCCATAATTATATTTTCGCGAAAATCTTAATTTAAATAGCTAAATCGAACCGTACACTACATACCACTAGTGAAGTGAACCCTACGACAAAAATAAAGAGTCCGGGGGTTCAGAAATAAAATTTTAAAATAAGTGTTAGGGTTTGGATAACATAGAGAAATTTTGACTATTGTATTAAAAAAAATACACATGCATAATTTACATGTAAATTTAAAAATTTGTTTATAATTTATTTTTAAATATCTTATTTAATCGCCACGACCTTAATATCATTTATAATAAAATATTATTACCTGCACGATAAAACATAAGCGTATTCGAGATTTTACTTAAAAAGGGGGGGGGGCACGATTATGTGAGTTTTTTCCCCATAAATATTTTATTGAAAATCTTTAGATCCACGTAGGCCTTTGGCTATGGCTATATTAGATTTTTTTAAATAATTTTATGTTTTTATATAAAAATGTTTTTTTAAAATAAATTATAGTCGTTATTTAAAAGCTATTAATCTTTACTAATTTTTCTATCAAATTCTTCTCTGTAGTGATATATATTATATATATTTTTTTAGATAGAGAGGTGTGTAAGGGGGGGGGGGGATTTTTATTAGCTTAAAAATCATATTTATGAGAACAGCGAAATTTGCGATGGGGTGGGGGCTCACATGCTGCAGAATTCCTAATATTTCGCTTTCTAAAATAGATATAAAGCAAGAACGTATGCATATTAATAAATTATCTTTTATAATAAAATATTACAACCTACACAAGAGATATGCAAATCACGGGTCTATTTTTTAAAAATAGGTTCGGGCTGGGTCAGGCCTAATAATTTGTTTAAAATAATCGGGCCGGGTCGGGCTTAAATTTTTAAATATTATACTATTAAATTTTGTGAAACAAATTAATATTCCTGCAAGAAACAAGGCTCTAATATTTTTTATTTGTAGGAAATTAAATTTTTCTACATTTAAATGAAATTCGAGTCGGAGAGACAAATAATTTTTATTTCGCATCGGTTCTCGGGACAAATATAAAAAAATTCATTCGGGATCGGATCAAGCAGAACAAATTTCGGCCGTGCCGGTCTCGAAAAATTAGGCCCAATGTAGATCACTAACCTCCACTATGAAATTTAGAAATATTTCACTTAATATAAATTACAAATAGAAGTTTATAAATCAGAAAATTATGAAAATATATCCACAGGAAAAAAAATTATTTTTAAATTTTTTAAAATATACCCGGGTTTGGGTCTAAAAAAAATACGAGCACGATAAAAAAATACATATGTATAAATTATTTATAATACTAAAATTTTTATAAATAAATAATGCATTAAAAAAATATATATAATATTTAAATTTTCTTTTAGTGAAATAGGACGGTATTGTCTGTCACCTTTTATTATTACTCCCTAATTGTTGATGGATCGAAAAAATCTTATCTAATTCTAATATTCCCTACTTTGATTCATTTGAATCTAGAAACAGAGTAATACTTGTTTAAAGTTTTCTATTCTACTAATACATGGTAGGATTACCACAAATGAACTCTAGATTATTTAAAAAGCTTAAATTGCTCTTTGGTCTATGATCATATTTTACCTATCCATCAAAACTGATTAACTCATATCATTAAAAATTTTGTGATTACATTCTGCCTGAGTATTTCCCTGTTCTTTGAAAGGGGTGAAATAGGACGTTATCAAATAATCATTTAATATTTGAAGGGAAAAAAATGATTTTATTATAAGATTATTCTATTAAAATCACTGAATAATAGTTTGTGATTGCATAATAATTAACTTCATCTAATGTAACTTTTTTTTAAAGTATATTATAATTAAATATAAATTCGTTTCCTAGCCCATTTATCCCTATTCTCGATTACATTGCTCGAAATTCATGATGGTTATTAGAAATATATTTTTTTTACTATTATTACATCTTAAGTCGATATGGGGTTATTCGAAAATGCTATGCGCAAATTTTTAACGGTCTTGATAACGAAACGACTTCCTACACAAACTGGTCAACTTACTGAAGCCACTACGTAAGTGTCATGTTAGAGCTTGTTTTATTTGACTATTTTACCCTAAAAAAATATTTTCTAAACAATGAAAGGAAGGAAGAAAGCAGTAAAGAAATACAATTACTTTAATTTTTATCGTTCACCTTTTGCAGGTTAACCACCAAGGACACCACCTTTTGCTCCGATAAAGGACTGGACATCCTTAACAAAGCCTTAGTGTCCATGTCTAAAATTAGCCTCAAACTAGGCTCAAGCTGTTTGCCCGACATCCCAAGCAAGGAAACAACAGCTAGTACTACTACAATCAATACTGAAGTTATAGTATTCGCCCCTTTGGTTTTGAAAGTGCTGGCCGAAATCGTTGTCCTGAGTGGAAGTCAATTGAAGGATGAGATTGAAAAGTTTTCCATAGAGCTCAACGCCTTAACCCTGCAGGCCGATAAGGAAGATAGGTATTTGAAATGATTTGGTGACTCCCGACGATATTTTATCACTCGTCAGAATTGATAAAAATTAAAGATATCTTTTAAAAAAATATATTTTTGTGATTTATAATTTAGAAAAAACGAATTTAACCATTTTCCGCAAATCATATATATAATCTCGTATTTGCCTTTATAAGCGAGAGACCCTCTACCAGTTCTGAAAACAATCCTGAAGCCGACCCCGTGATCACCGAGGAAAACCGTCTCATTTTCAAATTCTTGTCCAACCTGGACGCCAAAAAGTGGTTTTCCCACCAGGACCTCTTTCTCAGGATCCTCAAAACACTCGAAACGGTTTACAGGGATAGCACCAACATTTATAGACATATCAATAGCAGCAATAAAGATAACGTTGAATCAGAAGAATCTGGGGGAAAGGCTTGGAGCTTATTCGGTATAAATAAATTTTTATTTAATTATATATAAATATGCTCAGTAAGGATTTCGACATTAATTGATTTTAATATTTTTCAAGTCAAATTTTATATTTATATTAAAAATTTCCCCTTAAATTGCATGCACATTTATGTATGTATTATTAGATCGGCAATTACCGGATCTTCTCTCTGCCCTTGATCCTCTATGGGACAGTTTAAGCACCTGCTTGACTATTCTAGAGGCTAATTCTAACTCTGTTCCCAACCAAACCAATACAAATAACACCAATACTTTAAATTCTAACGCTTACCCTAGCACCTCTAACGACCTTGACTCATCGGAAGTTGCTGGAAACGCTTCTAATGTGGTGGCGGGAACTTCCAATAGTGCGGGATCCGATTGGACTTCTATATTGCGTCCCACGGTTGAAGCCTTCTTCAGGGTGCACTCTAAATATGTGGGTTATATTGGAGTTGAAGGCGGAAGCACTAGGACGTATGCCAGCATAGTTAGAAACCCAAGGCGGGAAATAAGTATTTATATCATAAATTCATAAACCTATCTAATTTAGTTAGATAAAATGAAAGGCAAAACTTGATAAATTTAGAATATTGATTTTCGACAAATAGGGAAAGTAAGAATTTTTTAAAATTGAACCAATTAAATCATGATGCAGATACAACCTCGCAAGTCACCACCTTACAAGTGATAATCATTATTATTTACTACCAAATGATCTTTCATAGCCTTACCATAACAATAACTTCTCATGGTTTATGGATGATAAACTGTATTTTACTATATATAAAATTTATGTATTACATTTTTTTTCGTTTAATTTTTAACTCTCCCTAAAAAAGATCCTTCCAATATAGAAGAAGAACCCGTAGCATCTAATATCCAGCCTATCGCAACCGAGAATCATGTTAAAACCGGGAAAGATTCCCAGAAAAGCGTTAATCAAGTTCAAGAACTCACGAATAATAAAAGATTTTTGGATTTTGCTAGTATAAATATTATTTTTTTTAAATACCTAAATATTTCCTATTATTTTCGTTTAAAAATAAGTTCCATGTAAATAAGTGATTATCAATATTTTTGTAATCATTCACTTGCATAATAATGTAAGATTGAATTTTGAATCCTTATTTTGAATTACGATTAGAGGTCTGCATATGGAAATATTTTCGGGCTCGGTGGATTTTGTTTTCGCCTGGTCTTGTCAATTTTTTTTAAAGTTGCCTGGTTGCATTATAATTTCTTTTACCTGGATGACTATTTACTACCCTTTAAACGTCATTCTATCGCGCAAAATATTATTACTTGGGCCTCGAAATTTCACCAATAAAAGTCCAAACCTTTCTGCCATCTGGATAAAATCCCTAAACTTAATTAATTTACTTTTGGCCAAAATCTTGAGTTAACGGTTTATTAAAATTATCTAGAGCCGTTTAGCAACACTAGCTGAACGGACTCGTCAGATATTTTAAAATCCTTTTCTTGTTGCTGATAATATTTAACAAATTTTTAAACACTTTTATTTGTGAAATTATTTGTAATATTAAAAAAAATATTGGATTGGCTACGCTAATATCGGTGCCGATCCGATATTTAATATCGGCACAGCCCTATAAAATATTTTATCTCGTATTAGATATTTCGAACTAATTATTGGTCTAACCGATTTGTAATGACGGTAATTAAATTTTTGTAAAGGATTATAATAATTTTAAAATTTACTTTAACAAAAGAACTATTTTCTTTTTTTGTAATAAGCTTCACACCGTCAGATCCTCAATCGCATCCTCCGACAAACCATGCTCGCCTCCTCCCACTCTTCCTCCCATAACCATTCCAATACATTCAGCTCTTTATTTAATACCAACAATAGTCAAAGGAACACTGCCGAAGCAAGATTGCTGGGTCCGTTCTCTATCCTTGCACGGGAACCTTATTGCCATTTGCTGGATTTCGACATCAAAAGACGCTATTTCAGAGATATACTAGAAACTATGCCTGTCAATTACAATGGTGCTAATGGTAACCCTTTGACCGGGCATATTAGGTAAATTATAATTTTAGTTTTTAAAGATTCCATTTTTACGGTATTTTCGTAAAATTCAAGCTCATTTCTGCCATTTCAATCACTATTATATTTTTCTTGAAAACATTCATTTTTTTAACACTTAAAAAAATAGGTGTATATTTATTTCATCTCATTAATAAAACAAACAACTCTTAGGCGGTGTCATAGGTCGGCTTAATTTGTAAACTTAATTGCTTTTTAGTATAGACCAAAAAGTATTTGATCGAGGACACTATTTTGGTTTATTTCAAGTAGTTGATGGCATTGCTATTTTTTTCCCCATATTTATTTCTCGTTTTTTTTCGGAAAATAATTGACGACAAAATTTTTGCATAATATTTATATTTCTTTATTTTGGTATTACGCTAGAATGCATCATATTTCTTTTTTTTTGTATTATCCTAGAAATGGTGAGGACTTTCCGGTGCACGTTAGGAGAACACAAGTATTCGAAGATAGCTACAGAGAGCTTCATAGACAGCCTCCGGCCGTTTGGAAAAATCGATTTTATATCATATTTGAAGGTTTATATATTTTTTTAAAAAGGGATCCATTTTGCTATAAATGATATATTTTATATTACCAAATTTTAATCATAAATACACTTTACGAAGGCGAGGAAGGTCAAGACGCTGGTGGTCTTTTGCGCGAATGGTACAGCATAATTGCCCGGGAAATCTTCGATCCCAACTACGCACTTTTCCGCATAAGTCCCGGAGATAGGTTTAAAAAAGGCATATAATGGATATTATGTATGTTGTCATATCTATAATTGATATTTGATTGTGATGAACAAAAAAGAATAATTTTTAGTCAACATGTTATATAAATAATGTAAACTATAAAAATGATGAAGATATTACATATGATGATTTGGCTTTATTTGCCCCATTCTATTTCGTAGTTTAATATATAATATAAAATGAATACAATCAGATTTGGCCTTTTATAAATTTTACATTTAATAATACTGCTAAGTTGGGATTTTAGAATAACTGTAATTTTTATAAATTAAAAAAACATTAACAAACAAGGGTAACTTACACCATTAACCCGGCTTCCCATTGTAATTCCAACCATCTTTCATACTTCAAGTTTGTAGGCAGGGTCATTGGAAAAGCCTTGTACGACAATAAACATCTTGAATGCTACTTCACCCGATCGTTCTACAAACACATACTTGGGAAGAGTGTCAAGTATATATATAATATAATGAAATGCTCATTTCGTTAAAAATAATATTTTTTTTGAAATTATTTTTTGCGATCGTCAAAACTAATTTTTTCTGTAGAAATTGTGAGTGAGAAAAAAGAGAAATATGACATGTTTTTAAACGGCTCGATTTGAGTTGATTTCTAAAAATGGCTAACGAAATATTATAGCTAGAGAAATATTGCTTAAGTCTCAATGTTTAACTATAGATGTCCAAACCTTTGTTCAATTTATGAGCAAAATGTTCAGGCTTGCATGATTTTTTTCTGGATAAAATATTGAGTTCGCCGTTTTTTAAAATTGCCTCAAATTGAGCCATTTTACAACACTAATGACATGTATCCTATTCCTATATATAAATTATTATTTCTTAAGATACACCGACATGGAAAGCGAAGACTATGATTTTTATCAAGGGTTAGTATACCTTCTGGAAAACAATGTTGAAACATTGGGCTACGAACTCACGTTCAGCACTCAAGTAATCATCTTTTTAAATTGCTCCATTTTTATATATATTGTATTAATTCGTATACGCCTAACTTACCTATTATTTCTCCTTTTAAATCTTTTACCCCAAGATACAAGAGTTCGGAGTGACAGAAACTCGTGACCTCAAACCCAACGGGCGTAACGTTATAGTCACGGAGGAAAATAAGCAAGAATACGTTTCCCTACTCTGTCAAATGAAAATGACCGGGGCGATTAGACAACAATTAAACAGGTTTCGTATTTTTTTATTTGTTCGAGCCGCTTGATTAAAATTAACAAGCGCCATATGGTACTTCCAATGTTGCCTTTGACAACATCCATTTTTTTGAATGCCTGAAATCAGGATTTATGTCAAATCTTGATGTAAAGATTTATGCCTAAATGAATGATTTAAAAATATACACTTTATTAATAAAAAAGCTTCCTGGAAGGATTTTACGACGTTATACCCAAAGATTTGATATCCATATTTAATGAACAAGAATTAGAGCTTTTCATATCGGGTCTACCTAAGTTCGATATAGAAAATCTCAAAACTAATACTGAATATCATAAATATCAATCCGATTCATTACAAGTATATTAGTTGTTCTTCTTTTTTCGAAATTATGCAATAAGTATATAAGAGAAGAAATTGGTGATGTTAAAATAGGTAAGCAGAGCTATTATCCAACACTATATAAGAAAAGTTTAATGAATAATAAAAAAATTTTTATCTATTTTTATGCTTTTTTTTTCTTTTAAAAAAATAAGATAAAATGGTTTTGGAGAGCCTTGCGATCTTTCGACCCTGCTACTAAAGCCAAATTCCTTCAATTCGTCACTGGAACTTCGAAAGTTCCTTTACAAGGTTTTGGTTCCCTCGAGGGAATGAACGGTATCCAAAAGTTTCAAATATACCGGGACAATAGGAGTACTGACAGACTACCATCGGCTCACACTTGGTTAGTTTTACATGATATATTATACCATTTTTATACATTTACTATGTATCGTTCAATAGAACTGTAAAAATTACAATTGAGAGGAATTTACTAATAATTGATAGCATAGTTAAATAACAACAAATAATATATTTTTATAATATATGACCTTTATTATATTAAATAATTTATCAATTTCACAATTGAAAAAAAAAAAATTAAAACACTAATTCAATACAAACGGAATTGGGACTACAAGTCCCTCATCTTTAGCTTAGGCATCTAATTCATTCTTAAAACTCCTTTTAACTTAAAAATATATAATATCTAGATGATGGTTCCATCTGCGGGCCATCTAAGAGGATTTTGGTAATTATAGATTATATAGAGTTGGATTCTCTAAAAATAGGGTTTACTCTTCAGACGTAATGAGTGACGCGTTTTTTTTTGAAGTAACGTTTACAACTATATATAATATGTATGACTTTTTCTGCAATAATATAATTTTTAAAATTTATTTTATAACAAAAATATAATATAATCTACTTGAATGCCCACATTTTTTTTTATAAAATAGCTTCAATCAATTGGATCTTCCAGCTTACGAAAATTACACAAAATTACGTTCCATGCTTTTGAAAGCGATATTGGAATGTTCTGAAGGCTTTGGATTGGCATGAACACTATATATGGAATATATATTGAATTTTGATAATTTTTTTATACATATTATATAATGTATTATAAATTATATTATATTTAAAATCGTCTAATTTTTTTTTTATTTAAAGAATAGATAAAAAGGAAATGATATAATTTTAAGCCTTATCATTAAAGTTTTTTTTTTAAATAAAAATTAAATTTTAATGTTTATATATAATAAATCTCTATAACTTAAAAATATACTTTGTATTATGCATTATTATAAAAATATTTTTATATGAATTCGATATAATTATTTTGTATGAACAACCAAAACTATTCAAATACCATATTTACAACTATATTAAGATATAATACAGTTATTTATCTAATAAAAAAAACATTTATATTTTTCTCTAAGAATCCTGTTAGTATTAGATTCCTTCACTGATCATTCTACTTAGACAAACATTATCTCAGACCTGTACGAATTGAACTTTGATTTTACTTTTTTTATGGCCGAATTTGGACAACAAAATTTTATATATTATATTTTGTTTTCCTAAAGTGTTTATAAAATATTTCTTTTCAAGAATTAAACAATTTTATTTTTATTTTCTTTCATCGTTAGGCCAACTATTTATTTCGTTTTAAGTGAATATGAAAATATTTTGGTAAGTAAAATGTCACAACGATACATTACTACGTAAATCTAAAAACCCTCTTTCTTTTTAGGCTGTTTGGAGGAAGTTATATAAACGGCTTAACAGAGTACTGTTTAGAAATATGAAGAATCAGGACACGTTCTTAGGATTTTTATTGCTCAGACTATCTTACTTTTTAAACCCTCCTATATTTTTATTCGAATTGAACTCTAATATTTTAAAAAAATTCCACTGATTGGATCGGTCAGAGAATAAGAATAAACTAGTATTGCTAAAGATTATTTCATAGGGTTGTCATACTCGCAAATATTCCTTGGAAAGTTATTGGAAAGGAAATATTCCTGAAATTCCCAATTTTTTAAATATTTTTAAAAGTCATTATAAAAATTTAAATTTTTTTCTTATATATAATCATAAATAGCTTGGATACATTCATTTAAAATATTCTCGTAGCTCACATTTAGGATATTTTGAATGTATCAACTTATAAAGATGTTTTTTTCCAACTATCTAAAAAAAACATTTCAAAATATCTTTAACTTATATCTATGTATGATTTACTAAAAAAGGTTTAAATGCTAATATTTTTTACAAATGACGGTGTCATGGTTCACTTTATTTTCTAAATTTATCAAAATCAGCGTTTTGGCCGTGCCTTGGTTTGTCTTATTTTCTAAATTTATTTCTGCTAAGCCCAGTCTGAACAGATTTTGAACTAGGACTATTTTGGTACATTAAATATATACTATTTGTTATTCATAGTGCTGTAACCAACCGTTACTTCAAAAAAGAAACTCGTTACGGAAAAAAGGAACACGTTATTAGCTGTTCAAAAAAGTAACAGGTTACTTGATACTTAAAAAATTAAATATTAAAAATTTCCCTATATATATAATATAAATTATACAAAAAAAATACTATATTTTTGCTAAAAATTTTTTTTTTTTAACAATTGATTTTTAAAATTTTGATCTGATAAACAAGAGTATCAACGGCACAGAGAATAGTAGGGTTTTATTATATTGGGTAAATAAAAATTGGGGATTTATTAAAAATTAAAGAATAATCTTTATTTTGTAAAATACTTAGTTCATCGTCAAAAGAAATCATTAGATCCTCATCCAATTTTTTTAAAATCTTTATTAGAAAATAATTTATACGTGTGTTGTTTAAAGGAATCTCAAGTCTTCCTTTTCTTTGTCAATATCTTTTCTCAAACAGGAAATAAGTTCTAGCTTCCTTCCTTCGCTAACATCTAATTTAACAAGAGCCAATTTTATTTAAATAACCGGTAAATTATTGCTGATCATATGTTGGGAGCCAGATTTCCAAAAAGTATTTATTCTCTCTCTCTAAAATCGAAAGAGCCGTATGAACAGGTTCGATAACCTATAAATATATATTGATATACAATATTCATCTATTAATAACTTGTCATTATCTGAAAATCTCTGTAATTTGGATTTATAACAAGATTCGTCAATTCCAATTTGTTTCATTCTCCTTAATCAGACTATATTAATTACACGGAGTTATAGAAAGAGTTTCACCTTGTTATAACTAGTTTAATCAGATTTACCTTTTTACAGTTTGGAGAATGCCAATATTTATTCCATAATTGAGGTTTAAATATTTGAGTTGAGACATAATTTATATTTACAAAGTTGTAGTATTTACATTCTTAATTTTCACCAATGGGGTAAAAAATACTTCTTATTAAAACCGAGGCAGCTTTACTCATTTTCATCTGAAGAAAATATACAATTGACATAATATTCTTTATTAAATAAATTATAATATAAAGAATATAAATTTACATATATTGATTAATTCAAATGTTAATTAGATTAACAATATTGACTGGAAATTTAACAACGAAATTAAGGAATTTAGTGGTTGATGTGAATTAAAAACTCGGCTTAAATTATTTATAAAATCTAAAAAATAAATAAAAGTAATTTTATAACACAATAAAATATGTTTTTCATATATTTTTTAAGAAAAATTTGAAGGAACGAATAACGTTTTATAAACGCATTACCGTTACTCGTTACCTTTAGAAGGTAACAATACTTTTTAACGTTACTTTACAGCACTAGTTTTTTATATATGTTTTTCGGAACGCGTATTCTTTTACGTAAATATTAATAGCCTCTTTCAATTTAAACAGTTTAGGACTTTAATAGGCAGCTAAATAGTAGACTGTTTTGAAATAAGACGAACCATGACACGCTTCTTTCTTTCTTTTTCTTCTTTATTTAAATATTTCCTGAAAATAGACTCATTTTTAAATATTGGCATCTATGAAATATTATAAAACTAGGCTACATTAGCTTATATTTTATTTATATAGTAATATAATATATAGCAATAAACATATTTTTTTTAATCTTTACTTAGATATAGATAATATATTTATTTCCTTAATCGTCATTAAAAAATAATTGTTAGTTAAATTTGAAAACAGTAAATAAACTAAAAATGAAAAATAAAAAAAAGAATTAATTTTACTTCCCCTTAATTTTGAACGATACAAAATAAAATAATCTTTTTCGTAAGGATACTTATGGGATTAAAAGAACTTCCTGTTTACACACTGTTATTGGCTTTCATTCTAATTTATAATTACCTTATAATCCAAATCTATAAATCTACAAGTAAATATTATTTGTATTATATAAAATTTTGGTGGTGCTCTTAAATAAAGATTTTTATTATTAAAAAATTTATATTTTATAGTTGGTTAACAAAATCTTTTACAGAAAAAATAAAGGAAAAATTTACCATAACCGCCATATGGTTTGAATGTCGACTAATTGTCTTATCCAATGCATAATAAATATTAAAGTCATTTAATCGACAAGCAGACCACAAAATGGCGCTACATCTGACTCCTATGTATGAAAAATTTTAAATGCTTCTTATGGATGAATCCCCAGTCTCTAAATATATATACAGTTTATAAAATTAACCAATATTAGGTGTATATTTTTATATAATTAGCTACAATTTAAACCTATTATGATATTTCAAACAAATTATTTATAAAATTATTCTATAGGTATTATTATTAATAAATAAAAATGCACCATAATTCATTGTAGCTATAAAATGGACTAATGGTTAAGGAAGCCCCTTTGCCTAACACAGCTATTGGTTGCAAAATTTTTCAACTTTTTCAAAAAATAAAATTATAAAATATAATTATCTTCTTAAAAATATTTATAAGGCACCTTTATAGAGTATAGATAGTTATAGGTATCGATTCATATATTGCTCTTTATATAATCTAAAAAATACAGAAGTTATAGCCGATTTTGCAAAAATTTTGACTAGCCTCAGTCCCCTCACCCCCATTATTTTTTGGCTAAAATCCTGTTCTAATCATTTAACGGCCTAAATTGGGTTTTGATAACACTTATTGTGTATAACTAAAATAAAATTTTACTTATATATACTTCCTGTGTCTTTTGTAAATAAAAATAAAATTATACGAAATGTTTATAACCCCTCATTCACAGTTAATTCGTGGTCAAGAACGAAGAATACAGCATTTTATGTACTTCACTGCTAATTAGAACTAATTTGAATGACGGGTAAATCTCTGTTATATTGATAAAAACATCTATTTAAATATTTAGGTTCCTTAGAACGTCATATAATATTTTATAGATTTTTAATAGTTTACGAATAAAATTTTTACAAATTTCTACTAACACCTTATTAAACTGTTAGAGCCAATTTTTCTTAGATAATAATAAATTTAAAACTTAATATTTTGTTTAACGCCAACATTTAATAATTTAAAACAAAAAATTATTTTTTTTCCTAAAGGAGATGAAAGGCAAATTTTTTTTAAAACTTTATTTGAATTTTGAAGTCAAATAAATATTTTTTTAGAAGAAGATTAAGAATTTAATAAATCATATATATTTGACTTTGGTCAAATTACGTAAATAAATCTCATTCTTTTAATAATTTTGTACTATATTAATATTAACGAATTATAAGACTTCTGCAAGCATATTTAATATTATATACACTGCGCATTATATCATTATCTCCATTGTCGTTGTTTTATTTTCCGCCATTTTATATCTTATTTTAGAAAAGCTTTGTTTTATATATTATTAATAAAGTGGCTAGAAAAAAAGCTATAAAGGCCAATTTACTCAGCTATAGATTATATTTAAAAAAATGTATTCCATACCGATATATTAAAAATTATATACTTTTACCTTATAATTAATTTATAACAATAAAGCTAATATAGATTTTTAATTAAATGCTTTTGGCGTTGCTAAATAGTTTTAACAAGGAATCATACATTATATTTTATATATAAATAGGATACCTATCAACCTTTTTATTATTATTTCATATTATAAAAAATTTATTTTATTATATTTCAAATAATTTAAATATTTTAGGCTGCTTAGTTAAGAATCCCATTTTAAAAATGATGAACCCTAGTCATTATTAAAACGTCTAATAAAAGGATAACCGAAAGAATATGATAGAGATACGCAATTTTCAGATAATATGACCCTTTGTTCCCCCTAAGCATAAATTTCTCTAAACCCCTGAATTTATATTGAATATATGATAGAGAATAAGATTAACTTTGAGGAGGTATTTTTGATATAATTTTTTGGCTTTAGTTCATAAGGCTTTCCTCCCGAAAACTTTGGAGCCCTTGAAAATTTTTCAAATTTATTTTTGCAAATTTTATTTTAGAATTATCTCTTTTTTTGACTATTTTTTGTATATTTTAGTTTTTTTTATAGCTTGAATAAAATATTTATGATATTCTTTTGTTATATTTGAAGTCGTGTTAAAAGGATAAACATTTTTTTCCTCATTGGAATTAATTTAGACCAAATAAAAGCCTTAGACGATATAGGAATAAATCCTTCTTTACCAGTAATCTACATAATTACTCCTACCGTAAACAATCTCGCTCAAAGAGCCCACTTGACTAGAATGGCTTATACTCTGGCTTTAGTGCCTAACGTGATGTGGATTGTTGTAGAAGATGCTGATGAACCTTCACCCAAGGTGTTGAGAGTTTTGACTAATTCTTGGCATCCTTATGTCCATTTGTGGATTCACAAGGAATATGTAATTTTCATTTTTTTTCTTCTTATTTCTTTAATTTAAAACAATTATTTAATAGAGAACTGTAGAACTATGTTTAAAAAAGATAAATTAGTAGGCGTATCCAGGACTTTGGTAAGGGGGCGGGAAGGGGAGCACTATTTGGTAAAATCTTTCACTATAAATTTTATTGGATACCTTTAGATCCACTAAGGTCTTTGGGTATATTCGATTTTTATAAAAATAATTTTGGTTCACTTTTTTTTATAAAATTGTTTTTTATCTAAAAATTTTGAATTATAGTTGTTATTTTAAAACGTTATTAACTTCTATCAAGTTTTCTTTAGCTTAAAAATGATACGAAAACAGGCAAATTTGCGATATACATGGGTGATATTTATTTTAGTATGTATTTGAAAAATTGCACACTGCAACAATGGCAGGATAATATTTTATTAGTCACGTGATATTATATTATTTGATGTCGAACGACTCACTAAAATTATGAGATCGAAAAACCCTTCCAATTTTCCGAATCGTAACCAAAACTGAACCGTTATAAGAAATAATTTAAAGGAGATACCCGAATCGTTATAAATAATTTCTATCAAAAATGATTGACATGATTTATAATATCTAAAAAAAATAGTTTAAATTTAATGTTACTTAATTTATTTCTTATGCCTATTTTATAAAAATAAAGAAATTCAACTTAGTTTCTTTAATTTTTGTATGTTTTTACTTTTAAAAGTTTTTATGTTATTTTTTTTACTAGATTATTAGTGGTATATCCTAAATTAGTTATGAATTTATTATACGAATTTCATATTAATGTTATTAAGCGTTACTTGTCCTAATATCAGTAACTAATTTTCTTTAATTAAATTTCTGAACATATGTTATTCCTATGATATATAAATGAACACTTATGAGTTATGTGAATTTCGTTTTAAAATACTTAAACATACGAATAAATTAGTTCACTAAATTCGTAACTATTTTAATCCAGCTAGGACGACGTATAACTAAATTATATTATAGCCTTATATTAAAAAAAAAATTTTTAATTTTTTTAATCATACTAATAGTTAGGATAGAATAAGAAAATAATTGAGAGGAAGGAGTAGTGTAATTTTACAATGAGAGAAAGTGAGAATAAATTAACAAAGTTTAAGAAAAAAATAATAATTTCATATTGTTTTGTTATCAAGTTAGTTTTAAAAGATGTCTTTCAACACTAATATTTACATTATAACCCCACCGTACAAATATAAATAATAAATCTTTCAAAAAAATGTTTTAATTAATACATAGATGTGTGGATGTAAAATTGTTATTCATATAAAGATCTAATGAATGTATAATAAAATAAAATATGATCTTTTTTTAGGAAAGAGTTCCGGAACGTTTCGAAACACATCCCAAGAAAGGAACAGGAACTAAAAAATTCCCATGTTCCGGTTTCCCATTAAATAGTTATATGAGCATCATAACCCTGCAGTGGTGGAAATTTTAGGGCTCACCCTGAATTTAAAAATGAAATAGATTTCTAGCCCTGATTATTGATTAAGGCTCGTTCCAAGGATTGTTGATGTTAGGCCCGGCCTTATTTTTTGAGCATCAAACGGCTCTGCCCGATCCTAAACTTTTGAAATTTCGCTATTTTGACCTATATTTTGTAAATTATTTCAAAAGGAATTTAAAAAATATCAACAGTAAAGGAATGAAAAGTTTCTTTGATTTTCCAGTATTTTTCAAACTTATTAAATTCTAAAGGTTAAATTTTTTTAAAAAAATATTGGGTCCGAATTTACAAAAAAAAATATTTTTTGGCGCTCTGTAGCGTTGCTCATGAATACTGTGATAAAAATATAAAATTGCATTATATTATTATTAAAATAAGGAATCAATTAACTAAAATAACTTTATTTTATAATTATAAAATGACCTTCGATCTATCTTAAGTGGTAATCTATTAATTATATTATTGTATTTTTATAATTCTAAAATGGCCCCCAATCTAAATGACAAGTATGTTACCATTTTTTATTATAGCATTAAAGCATTACATATGATAAATAATTCATGTTATTTTAACGATTTACCGAATATTTGTGCATTTAACATTTATAATTCATTTGTTCATTAATGCATATATAGGAAATCAATTATTAAGGCTTGTAACATTTAAATGGATAGAGACATATATTTGCGTGTGTATATATATAATATATATTAAATAACACCCCTTTTTAATATATTAACCCAAATACGCATCACTTTGTCCTTTAATCCTAACTTTTTCTAGAATGATATTGAATTATATCTCGATTTGAGAGGCATATAGTACATTAATATTATATGCGGTATCCATAGCGGGCATTTATATATTTCTTTAAGCTTTTACCTTCTGTGAAGGGATTTTCAAAATTACCTTATTATAGCACATTATCCAAAATGCCCTTTTTTTAGTGGTATAAAAAAATTCAAAATTTTGAGGAGGCTCTTCAAATTTTTCAGGGGGATCGAGTCCCTGCGCACCCGTCCCCTCTAGTGGCGCTACTGACTATAGCTTATATGGTCAATTTAAGCTTATTAAAACTTTTACACTATAATTAGCAATAATTATATGTTTAGGTATTATTTAAAATTAGAGAATTCATTTTATTATGAGTATATACATTTTATAATTCTAAAATGGCCCTCAATATATTTAAAGAGACGAATCTAACATTTTATAGATTTATACTATTTATTATAAATCCTACCAAACTATTTTGAAACGATATGGATTTTTTTTGTTAACTAGTTTTGCAAGTTCTTTATCATCAGATTATTATAATAATTTTTCTTTTAGATAGGTGTGCAATAAAAAAATTTAAAAAATTCTGTCGATATATTTTCGTGTGAATTATTTTAAAACGAATAATTTAAATAATTTGAATTATTGGAATAATTCGAATCGAATACAAGTAATAAATTTTAAAATTCATACAAATAGGAGTACGAATAGTAAATTATTCGATTTGTTTAAACGAATCGAATACGAATAATTTATTATTCATTTCTTATTTGGTTTGATAGGTCGAATACTTTATTAATCACATCACCTGTTAGAAGTTTATCAATTGAAATGGATTTATTTATGACCCATGGATTTCATTATAATGATTACCTAGTTGATTTAGTCGGGGGTAGCCGCTATTATTCTAAATTCGGTCAATCCCAGGTGAAATTAAACTATAAATATATAATCGCTTTCCTGACATCTGCTATGGTGAAATTGGTAGTTCAAATCTGAGATTCAGGGTAAATGGGATTATGGGTATCAATGTTTTTTGATTGGTGTTTTGAAGTAGGACTAGGGCCAGGTAAGTTTTATTGTCATGAGGATTCAGATTATCATTGAACAAGAGAAATTAAAGATCTAATTTTCAAATTTGCTCGATATAAAGTAATATTCTCGTTTTAAGGGTTTTTTTCCTCTCTTTTTTATTGCAATTTTTCATATTCTTGAAGAATGTGGGCTATCGATATAGGGGCAGGGTTATGTTTATATATCGCTTATATGTTGAACAAATTATTTTTTGCTAAATGGATTAAGTGAATGTGGGGTGTGAAAAGTATATTATAGAAAATCCTAGTTGATTGTTGAAAAATTAACCAAAGATGCGATTTTTGGAATAAGATCTTGTTATTTGAAGCCTTGCACTTGGGTAGGCATGATAATATGTGAGGCTAGGGGTAAGAGATGTCTATAGCATGGGATTCAGTGTCGGCAAGATCTGTAGAGGTTTTATGAATATCTAAAATGCGGATTAAGGTTGCAAGCGAAGGCTATAATGGAATGATCGACTGGGTAGTTGTGTTAAAAATAAAATAAGTATGACTGGGATTGAAACAGGCATTCTGGATTTGAGCATTTAATAACTTCGGTACAATTTATTTATGACAAAAAAACCGTTGTTGAACAATGAGCAATTAGTAGGATGAGCTTGCACATGTGTTCAGGTCATAATAAATTGTTCGTTTTTACATTTTCAATATTTGAATGGGTTGGGCAATTATGTCAGATGTGTGTATAGAACAAGGGACATTAATAATTATTTTCATATTTATCATGGTAGTTACTTCAAAAGTAAATCATACACGCAAGACTCCTAAGCTCTAATCATTTGTAATGGGAAAAATTTTTATAAAGAATAATCATAAAATAAAAAATTAAAGGGGAATAAAGAAAGTTAGTTAATAGTTTCACTCCTTCGGCAATGTTTTTATTAAAATAGCTTACGTTATAATAGATATTAAAATATACTAAGGAAGGACTTGGAACCTTCTGGAACAAGAACATTTTAAATGATCTATTTGTTCATTTAGAATCCTAGCAGGCTATTGCTATTCCTTCCACGTTCCAATTATCTTATGATTATTAAATTTTCAGTTTTTGTTTCTTACAAATTTATAAAAGCGTTCCTTGAGCTAAAATGTTTTGTGAATAACCTAAAAAATTCTGAATTTCCGGTACATATTCAGGATGATTTTGAAAATAATGTTCATGTTCCATTCATTTCTTTCTCTAAGATAATGTATTTTTTGTTCCATAACAAACTCCAGAACGTTCCAAGTCTATAATAATAATGACTTTTAAGGAAAGGTTTTACATGAGCACCTCTTTAAGGATATATGTGATTATTAATTAAAGCTCTTTATACATCAATTTTTTTCAAGAAAAATAAACATCATAAAGGATGTGCGCAAAGAAACTTAGGTTTGGCTTGGTTGAGAAATTTGTTTGGTGTCGGTCAATTGTCAACACTTTCTACCAATTCCTATCTGAAATCAGAAACAATGAATGATTTTCAAGCATCCCGACCCTCATACGCACAATTAGCATCAAAATTTGAAAATAAATATCACAAATCTATTAATCCTTTTAATTTTAAAAACTCAAAATTTTTAACCAATACTGCTTCATGGCGAGATAATTGGAGTAATAAGAATGGGATTGTTTATTTTGCAGACGATGACAATACTTATGATATAGAGATATTTTATCAAGTTTCTTTAAATTATATTTTAAAAAAAAGAGCAAGGAAGGGAAGAAGAGGGAGAGGAAGAGAGAGGGAGAAAAGGGAAGGGAAGGGAAGGGAAGGGAAGGAAAGGAAAGGAAAGGAAAGGAAAGGAAAGGAAAGGAAAGGAAAGGAAAGGAAAGGAAAGGAAAGGAAAGGAAAGGAAAGGAAAGGAAAGGAAAGGAAAGGAAAGGAAAGGAAAGGAAAGGAAAGGAAAGGAAAGGAAAGGAAAGGAAAGGAAAGGAAAGGAAAGGAAATGGAAAGAGAATAAAAGGAAAGGAAAGGAAATGGAAGAGAATAAAATGAAAGGCATGGACCCAATATTTTGACAATTTATAATATGTTCTCCATTGTTTATAGATGAGACAAATAAAGAAAGTCGGTGTATGGCCTGTAGCCTTTAGTGGTGGATTGAATGTGGAAAGACCTTTAGTGATAAAAGGAAAAGTGACAGGCTGGTTAGTGGCTTACGTGAAACAAAGACCTATGGCTACGGACATGGCAGGATTTGCTATAAATCTCGCCTTGGTATTACAGAATGCAGACGTTTATTTCCACGAATCATATAAAAATAGTTTAAATATTTATATTTTATGTGTTTATTTGTATGCCCAGCCCGATGTGATTGAGTTTGCTTCGTGTTTGGATTATATTATTTTAAATATCTGGTAAATAGTATTTCATTTTTGTAATAATTGGTTTGCAAAGTGAAAATTAAAACTATAGCTTTATCAAAGCGTAATAATTTAATCTCATTTAGATTGGCTTGAGAGTAATTTTCTCAGCAAATTCGTAGATTTACAAGATTTGGAACCACTAGCAAATAATTGCACTCAGGTTATTTTGATATAAATTCAATATTTTAACAAAAAAATTTAAGAAATTATTTTTGTTCTCATTATCCATGGTAATTTTATAGGATTATTGATTTATAATTAAGAGTGTATATCACATTGGGGTATGGAGTCTATTGGGAATTTGCTAAAGATGTATTTAAAACATTTTTATTATAAAATTTAATATAAATTAAAAATAATTCAAGAGTTTATTGTAAAAGTAAGGAATTCATTCGATACATGTTTTCTAAATTTAAAAAATTGCTTTCAGTGAATGACTTAAAATTGAGAGATTCTGAATCCACGTGGTTTCCATATCCCAATACATCATGCATTCAAAAATTGGATAATTTGGTCATTATTAGGAATGGTATTTAAAGATGACATCAACTTTTTGATTATTTTTGAAAAATTTATAAATTTAAATTTTATAACCGATTTCAAGTTAACCTCAATATAAGCAACTTTAGATATTAATTAAATTAAAAGTCTAGCTAAACATTTTTTTTGATGTACTAATAAGTGGTTAAGGCGCGGCTCGTTTTGGCCCCGAAAGAATCTTCAAAGAAAATTGATCTGGAAGTAACCCGAATTGTATTATATGTGCAATTTCTAAGCTAATTTTGATGGTTTCGATTTCCTATTTTGACTAATAGAGGGGTAAATTAAGGAATGGGGAAAAGAGGGAGGGGGGCTAAAATTTACAGGGATGTAATATTTTTATTCTTTAAAATGGTCAAAGATTTGATAACGCATTATTTGTCCTGAATGGGCATATACTATTTGTGCCAGAAACGAAAACGAATAGTTTAAATTCATAAAGACGGAATAGAGTTTGCAGGGTGTTTCTTGAAAAATTTCAAGATCATTTGTTTTCATTGGAGTATTTATGTATGGTGGGGTCTCGAAGTATTTTTTTTTTAATATTTATAAATGGGATTAAATATGTTATATCTGAACCATAAAAACTTCAAATCAAAGTAAAACAACGTTGAAAAAGAAATTATCAATACCAGATATTATTAATTTAGCTCCTATTTTTTTTATTAAAATTTTACCCTACATCCTCCGAAGTAAAATCCTAATATGCCATCGACTATTTACGTCATAGATGGTGCTAGTGGGATATATGTATGATATTCGAAAATGAGAATAACAGTTTAGGTAAAAAATTACAAATTTTATTGATGTCGAAAATAGAGAAAAAGAAAGGATTTGAGAGATATTTTGGAGGAACAGATGATAGAGAAGTAGATTTTGAATAACTTTAATTAGAATTTAATTCTCAGGCATCTAGCTTAGTAATTTGAAATATCTTTTTTATTAAAAAAAACTAAGAAATGGATTAGAGGTAATGGATTTTCTATTAAATAATTCAGATCATGTAAGCTTAGACATTTAGAATAAGATGTCAATTAGAAATAATAGTTGAAATAATGATATATGCAAAATAATCAAAAAGATTCTTGAAGAAAGTATTGAGAGAGAAACATGGCGATGATGATGTTCAAAATGAAGTGAATTACAAAAGGCCATTAGATAAAATATGCCAAAAACATGAGTCAAAATAGAATGATAAAGCAAGGCTAAAAAAAATTAAACATAGGAAATCTGAAAATATGATAAACGAGATTGAAAATTTGATAAAGGATAGATTTGGGAAAGTAGCAAATTATAAGAAGATACTAGAGAGTGATAGCTTGAGTAATATGATACGTCTTTGATTTAAAATTTAAGGAAATTTTTACATTAGCCAATAGTAATAAATTATTTGACAAGAGGAGGCAAATTATTTGAGACCGCCGAGGTATTGAATAGGAGAAATGCAGTTTAGCTATCTTTCTTCTAAGAAAAAAGGAAGATAAACAAAAATGATAACAATTTTAACACGATATTTTATGGTGTTATGATTTTTGTATTCTTCTTATTCAAATGATTCGTATTCAATATTCGTTACAAATATGTTTTTTTTGTTTGGACTATTCTTGGGCAAAATAAAATTTAAATATAAATAAACGACGTGACATATAAAGTTTTCAAAAAATTTATCTTCAAACAAAAATTTTAGAAAAGCTAATATCGTATTTATGTTTCAATATTCAATGAGTTGGATTAAGCTCAAATTTTAATAATGCTGATTAATCTTAACTCATTATATTTAAAAGTTATTTTTTAAAGGTATTGGTATGGCACACGAAAACACGTCACCCAAATCTTGATCTAGAATCAAAATTCATAAAGAGATTCAATGCACCCTCAAATCAAAATATGGAAATTTAAAATGAAAATAAATTATTTTTCTAAAATTATTATATATATTTTATATACTTATGATATTTTATGAAAATTTTACATTCAAATAACTACAATATCAAATCATCATTCAAACTTTATAGTTTATACTAAATAATAATTATTAATACTAAGAATATTTAAATTGAATCCAGTGTTATTTAAATAGCGTTATTCTAAACTAGTAATCCTTTTATTTAATTTAATTATATGGAATTTCTTTTCTCTTAATTCGAAAAATATTTTAATCTAGATAAATAAATTAGCACAGGGTATAAATTTAGTTGTTAGATGTGTTATAAAGATTTTATCATCAATCAAGACTAGTATCTTCAGCAAGGAAACATTTAAAAGCAGTGGTCCCTACACCTTCTGTGCGATGAAAGCACAATACCTCCCTGAAAGTATACCCACCTCCCTCCGAAAAAATGTTTATAGTTTTTTGACACCCTTTCGGCAGTACATAAGGTAGTAGGAATGGTTAATAAATATTTATATAAAATTGATAAATTAAGTAAAGCAGAAAAATTTTAAAATAAACGATAAGGTAAGATAATCATATTCCAGCTGAATAAATCTCAGAATCATCATCAGTAGAGGAAGCTAAATAATGTAATATTAAAATTTTAGTAAAATAAATTTACAATTATCAGAATCTGATAAATTTTTAGATTCTTTAACCTCCAGATCATGTATAATAATGAGATCTCTCATTTTTCACAATATAAATATTTCAAATCATAGACATTTTTTCAAAAACTTAACTTGAATTTAAATGGTAAAATTTACAGATATCCTTAATATCACCCTTAACGAATGTCTTCTCCTCTATTTTCTTTGGTGTAAAAAATGATGTTTGATTTAAAAATTCATGGATTCATCATTGAATCATTCATAAAACTGCATGATCAAATCAAGTGCACCATAAACTGATTTTATAGCTAAAACAAAATATTAAATTTAATAATATTTGGATTGTAAGGTCGATTTTTCCCCTTCATAAAATCTTGAGCTTTTGAAAAAATAATCAAAATTCAGTTATCCATTTATTAGGATTAAATAAGCAATAATTTAAATTGTACTTCTTAAATTAATCAGGCAATCTTTTGTCAAGTGAATTTGATATATTTCCAAATCCTATATACTTCGAAATGGTTTGCAATTTTGTACAAGTTTAGCTTGTATCAACAATATTTTATCCAAAACACCAAGTGATAAAATAAAATCAAAATTTCTTATTTTAAAAGTGGCAGAATCTTCATAATCCTTTAAATTTGTAAAACTGCCCTCAAGATATTACAAAGTAGGAAAAATTTTTCAATAGCTTTATATGATGATAGCCAGCTTCTATAATTATTAAATGAACATTTTAAATCTAAACAAATAAGATAATATTACCGAGTGGTATTCTTGATGCCTAAAAATTGTTGCTATTTTGTCAGTATTTCACTTTGACATATACTGAAATACACGTGAATCTTTTTTTTTGACGGGTAAATTCTCTCTTCCCTAAAAATTTCTTAGTTATTTTAGCAATTGGCATATATTATATTTATAATCTATGATAATAGCAACAAATAAAAATGTGAGATCCCAGTTCTAATCAAAGCCTGTACTTCTATGATCCTTCCACTGATGTTTGAAGCACCATCATCGCTTTGCCCAAGAATTCGAGGGGTAGATTCATGAAACTAAGTTTGCATATCATATTTTTTTTATTATCAAGACCAGTCATGTTGCAATATCTTTAATAAAGCTATAGCTTTTGATTTCGAAACATCAAATGCATACCATAAACTATAATTGAAAAACTCCTGTTAAATTCTCTCTTTTTGAATTTTTTTATACCATATTTTTCATTATTTTAATGAGAATATTTATATTATTATAACGACAAAATATTAGAATATAATTTGGATTATAATAAATGTTTCGACTGGCTAAATAATATTATTTTGGAATTATATTTTTAATTAAATATTACAATAAATAATTAAAATTAATATCTCATTTTATCATCAGACTCATCTATTTATTATCTGAATGTTAAATATAGCTACCATTGTTTACCCTAGTTTCAAGTTGAATTGGCCATATATTAATTTGACTGAATCCAAAAAGTGAAATTGTTATAGACATGTGTGTTTTTCTGCCTTATATCCCTTATCAATAACGTTGCTCTATACATTTTTAGTTCTTTTTTTATTTGCAATTTCATTTCTTTGTATGCGACAATGACTAATCAACAGAGTTGTTAAAAAAATACTTTCCAAAAAGATCTAACTAAATGTGGATCAATGGATCAAAATGAAGGAACATCATCTAAATGCGAATCTAGATACAGATACATATCTAATAATGTATCTATAAATAATTGTATAATGATTTAATTTTTTTATTTTCGCTATGCATAATTCCTACTTTAGGATTCTATTGTTAAATTTAAGTTTAGAAGTGAGCTAAAAAAATTTGTTGGATTGATATCTCATCTACATACAAAACATACAATTAAATGAAAATAATAATTGCTAAATTTAAATAATACAATACAAAATATATGATTAAATAATAAGTAATAATTTTTAGATTTTAATAATAAATTAACAAAATTTTTTGTAAAGACATTTTTAGCTACCTTAAAAAGCCTTCCCACTTGGGCACTTGACGGCAGAGAAGTTTTATATATAACAACTTTTTATTGGGAAAATCCTATATACTAAAATCCCAAGACAAACCTCTTCTTGAACATGGTAAGTCAGTCACGGATAATACATAGAATTATCTGGACCTGGAGCAAGAAAAAGTTGAAGGTAAATAGGTTTTTTAAGGTTTTTAAGTTCATTTCGATTTATATATTATATTTTGACAACTTTTTTTTAACTTAAATAATTAATTTAAAATTAAATAATTTGTGACTTGTGAGAAAAATTTAATCTAATCTCTATAGTTTGGCAATGCCTTTTTATTATATTTCATATGAGATAGAGACATTTATTATTAATATTAAAATCATTCTAAATGCACGATTACCTGAAATTCAAAACGAAGTCATATCTATTATGGCAGATATGGTGCTGGAATGTATCTCAGAAAATATAATAAAAGTGAGATATCTTTTTTATCTTAAGGCTGATGGGAAGTTTGTGAAATCCTGAGCATAAATATTCGTTATACTTATTGTGGGGAAATCCAAGAAAATTTAATAGGAATCATTAATTTACAATCTTTCTGCTGAAAGTATTACTAATTGTATTTAAAGCTTTTGAATTAAAATTAATGCATCGAATATAATAAGCCAGGCATATGATGGTGCAAATGTCATATCGGGAGGAGTACAAACCCTGCTTAAGAAAAAATTAATAAAAATTGCCTTATATAAATTACTACAACCACAATCGACATCTTAGGGTTGAAAATTGGTAAACAATATTGTTATCATTTCTAATTTTTTTTAATTTATCTAAAGCATTTTATAATTTTTTCAGGCATTTTATCGTATTCTAATCTAATATGCAGGCCATACTTTTAAAAGACTTTTAGACTTAGAACAGAAGTGGAATGGTCTTTTAGAAACATCTCTTATCATTTATGAGAATTTTGAGGCTATTGGTGGGGTATTATTTTACTTTTCTAATAGAACATTTAATTCAGGTTTTCAATCATGATTCAGTCGAAGCCTCTGGATTTTTTTTATCTCAATGCGTTAATATGAATTATATAATAAGGCTATTAATGCACAATAGTAGGTACTAATATAGTTGATGCTAATTGTATTTATTCTATAATTAATATATTAAAAAATAAAAGAAGTGATAATTCTTTTGATTTGATAAGAATGAAGGCTGAACTCATATCAAAATATCTCATCCCTCAAAAATAATCAAGTGTACGTAAAACGCCTATAAATCTTCAAGATTTTTTAGTCGATACAAATTGCAATGTGGTTGTGTAACGGACTCCAATTGAAGTTCTTTAAAATAAATTAATATGTAGTTATTGATTACTTTGTAGAATGTTTTTTAGATAGATTTACACTAGATAATTATAATCTTCTATCATGTTTTAATACACTCTTTCCCCCTTGACCCTCATCATTTTATATAAGATGAGAGAATAGCAAAAGGATTATTAGCTGCAGAAGTTAAAGAAACACATAATTTTGAAAATATCGTAAATATTATGAATAAAAAAAATATCTCGAATTTAAAGAATTGTATAAATGCTACTCAGCAGCTAGCATAATTAGGGTATAAACGGTTTCTTGTGAGGCCTCACTTTCTACACTAGAGAGAGTTCTATCTGAACCAGAGAATCGATGAATAACACGGAATTTAGTTTCTAAATTATTTATGTTAGAATTTGAAAATTAAAATCGCCGTATTATATTATATTTTCATATTATAGTATTATTTTATTTGCATTTAAAATTTTTTAATAAAAATAGTTAAAAATTTCTATGAGTCTAACTATTTGATTTATTTCAAATAAATACTGGTCGCCTCCAAGTAAACAGTTTCCCCAGCTGCAATTCCTGATTAGGGCTCTGAATGTTGTACTCATCCATTGCTAAATAATATTCGTCTCATTTGTTTTTTTTAATGAAATAAGCTTGGGCATAATATGTAAAGAATTAAATTTAAATATGATTATTGTTTAGAGTCATAATAATATTATGCAGAGATTTCGTCAGGTAGATATCCATGTTCAAACCTTTCTTCAATTTATAAACAATGTATTTAGAATTGTGTAATATTTCTTGGCTAAAATATTGGCTTTGTAGTTTTTAAAAATAGAGCTGTTTAACAATACTTGTAATATTAAAAAACGTAAAATAAAATTATATCCAAATATAGGCAAATACCTCCAATAAATAGTGTCTAGATATAGATACACATTTTTATGCCTAGACATTTTAACAACTCTTCTAATTACTGAGTATTCACTTTCCATCGTGTTTGCCGAGTCATTTAAAACCAGAAAAATGAACAAATTAATATAAAAAAAAGTATAGGCAAATTGATTTTTAAAATCAATTAAACTAAAGATAGACTAAAAATACAGATAACTCATTAAATTTCTTGAAGGCGTTTTTTTAACCACCCTC